GACGGCTGGAAACCGACACGACAAGCTCAACATGACGTTCAACTTCTGGAACCTTTGCCAACGGCAGAAACAGCGTGAGCAATATCTTCGTATCGGCGCGTGCCTAGGTTGATACTGTTCCCCTAGCCGACTTCTTGGCTAGGCAGGTCGAGAAGACATACGTCGACCAGGAAGAGGCCACAGACGAGTTGGCCTCGATGATTGCCGGCGCTGGCCCCACCAAGGTTCTTCGTTGGATTGCGCAAGGCATTCGACCCTCAGCGCCGACGCCGCTCAACTTCAAGGAGCGAGAAGAGTCGTCCAAACAAAGCCCATTTGTGCTCGACACCACTCATCGTAGGTCCCCGCACTTCTGTACTGGCTCACACTGACGAAGAAAACGCAGTTCCTAATCGCGAGAAGGCGTTCGATGACCTCGTGAAATCCCACGAGAACGCGAAGCACTCTTCCCCTGCAGACGTGGACCTCAAGAAGCGTGCAGCGCTCTTCGTCCGCAGTGGGATCGACGTGCAAAGAGCGCTGTGAGTTCCGTACCCCTACCGAACAATTTGTTTCTGACATCTTTCCTAGTTTCAAGCTCCAGCAGCGCAAGAAGCTGGGCAATAAGGGTTTCGGTCAATCGGACGAGGCCACGGTCCCCTTTGCCACCGCCCGTCGCGGATATATCCGAGACCTTACTCAGTGGCTCAAGGAGAAACAGCGGTATATGCCGCTCGCCGCTGCCGATGAGGACCCTGTCGCGCAAGGTCGACGCGAGTTCTCTCGAAATGTCCGCGACGATGATGACGAGAGAACGAGTAACGACATCGACGACCAGGAAATCATCGGCCTACCTTCAGATTACACGAAGGAAGAGGTCAAGATCCTCGAAATCGAGGTGTTCGCCCGCGGTGAGCTGGCCATGCGCACTGCTGATTGTTTCGATGATCTTGCCCATGTACGAAGCGCTGTCGAGTATCGTGCGTCTTTCTTGCGCGAGAAGAAGACCGCCGGGAAGCAAGGGCAGAAAGCAGGTACGCGTTTCCAGACCGAACTCCAGAGGAGCGGTCACTACGCTTATCGTCTGGCCGAACGCTACAACGACAACTTCCAACGCGTGTCGGCACTGCGCAAAATTCTCGACCACAAACCAGACCAAGACTCATCGGAAGGTCGTCTGCGCGCGATCGACTTGAAGACCGATCTGACCCTCTCCGACCTTACCTCGCGTCAACCAGGCGACACACGACGGTACTCCTCTTGGGTTTGGCGCATTCTAACCCCCAAGAAGGACAAGCGGCAGCAGCCATCAAGAGAAGCCAAGTCTACTGAACCACCCCCCGCTGAAGATACTGAGCCGCAGTGGCGCGACAATGGTATGTACATCTTCGAGCTATCGTTGATGCTTCCTAACCTCTGCTGCAGCACAGTCGACGATGTTCCACACTCGCCTACAGCGCAAGTATCAAGCGGACGCCCACGCAAACTACCTGTTCACGGACTTCCGTAATGGCGTCGCTGGCCATGACTTCTACTCCAAAGCTTGGCAAGTGACGACGAAGGAAAGTGACTTATCGCGGGGCAAGCGTGCATACGCTATGCAACAGAGTGCTGTGTACGGTCGTGGCCGCGACCGATTTCGCAGGTGTCACGTTGAATCACTGAAGCCGGGGGTGTCGATCGACGAGAAGTATCATGACCTCGTAAGTGTTCACATACCCTTGTTCTCAGTCTCCGACTTATGTATCTTTCTAGTCTCTTCGGGATGCCCTTGCAGAGTATGCCGACGATCTTGACGCTTACAAGGAGGTCTTGCGTGCGCTTGATCTCAACTTCTAGGTAGTAATCGGCGATGCGGGTGCGTCCTATGTGCGAGGTATATGGTGCAGAGAATGCGGTTGCACCAGTGCAACTCGAGCTGGGACCAACGAGATGTATTAATGTGGGCGCAACTATTATCATACATAATGTGCTACTTCAATGCAGTGTATACACGTCGCACGACAACCACTTTGACAGCGCGTACGCACTCCACACTCAAAGCAATCAGCTGAAAGCGGGTCGCAATCGAAAACGCTGAGGTACACTAGGCTAAGACGGAGCTAGAGTACGCTACAGACTGCTTCAGACCACATCACGCGGGTGCCTGCCACCTACGACAGCACACGAGGGTGCGCGGGGGCGATAGCAGACACGTGGACGCGCGAGTGGCAGAGAAAACGAGACAGAGCGAGTGTGTGTGAGAGAGCCATAGCGAAAGCGAAAGAGCGACAGTAAGAGCGAGACAAGAAGTGATCGGAGGAGGGCGGGCGGAGGGGCGAGCGGAGGAGCGACACGCGAAGGACAGAAAGCACCGCGCGCGTACAGGCGCGGGAACGCCGGGCCGGGCCAGCCCAGCAGCTGAATGAACGGAGTCCGAGAAACTCGGAGTCGAGGTCGGTTGCGCTGCCCAGTCTTGCGTGGCGCGTTCCCCTGTTCCCTGTTCACCGCATCACGTGCATTCCTCCTATGAGTTCGCGCGCGTGTCGCCCGGCTGCTGTTCGCCCCAATGTCCATGGCACGTGCGCGCGGCTGCAGGCTGCACCTTCCACCGGGCACGCAGCTCATGATGTAACATTCAAGATAACTTACTACCGCAAGGGTGGCATCATCGTATCGTTACTATTACTTACTACTATGAATATCACCCAAAGGCACGTGACAAAGGTCACAGAACAACATATCTGCATACTGTATGAACTACTAGTAGTTACTACTGGTAATCGTGAATAGACGCCCCTGGTAACAATTTAATTAAGCTCCCTTGGGTTTATATGTGCGCCGAGGCTGCTTCTTGCGCTCAATTCCCCGGCAGCCTTTCGCGGTGATGCATCCCCGTCTTGTGACGGACGGGGACGGCTCCATGACCGCACAGATGTACTTATGTGTGCCGACGGTCGCGAAGGTGGTCGGAAGATGGAAGAAGTCAGGGCAGCCGGACGGTTCATGAGGGCATCGGGCTGTTTTTTTAAATCATTGCTTGATGAGCTGCGACAACGTTGTAATAGCCTCAGAAGCCGCACCAGTTTGAGGTTTTCCGACCGGGATATACGGCAACACAGGCGCGACAATGGTTGCCATATGTAGCTGATCGGCAGGCACCCAGTGAACGAGTGAACCACTGCTGTGATACGCGCCATCGGAGACGCGCCTCGGTGGGCGGTAAGGATGCGTGGCTGTGATGCACGACACGCGTCCGTCCTTGCTCTCCTCCTCCTCCTCCTCCTCCACGACCATCGTCGCTCCTTCGACTTTAACTCCACCTGCTGCCCTCAACCTGCCCTCCCTCGCCCAGCGGCGCCCGTGACAACCACGACGAATCAGAGGGCCCGGCGTCCACCCGGACGCAGAATATTTTGGCTTTGGCAATGTGCCGCGGCCTATCTCAAGTAGTTTTGCGCCCTCCGCCTTGCCCATCCCGTCCTCAGGCTTCCGTGCGCCGACTGAGCGAAGGACCGAGAGCACGTCCAGGTTCGCACCGTCCAAATATCTCCCCCCCTCCTGCTTCAATCATCTGGCCTGCCGCCCCGTCGACACCTACGACTTGTGGGGGACGTCCGCGCAACGTCCTTCCCCTCACGCTCGCTCTCCGCTCCTGCTCCGCATCGCCCTCCACCTCGCCTGCCTCCGCCTGACCTTCGACATCCGCCTCATCGGCGTCGCCCGCCTCCTCCCGCGTCACCCTGCTCTACCTCTGCGTCGCCCGCCTCCGCTCACGTTGCGCTGCCCTCCTCCGCCCGCGTCGCCCGCCTCCGCTCACGTTGCGCTGCCCTCCTCCGCCCGCGTCGCCCGCCTCCTCTGCGTTGTCGTTCGCCTCTTCCGCGCGCGCCGCCCACCTGTGCGCCGCCCTCCTCCGGGTTGCCCACCTCCTCGGCGACCTGCTTTGCGCCTGCCCGCCTCATTGCCCACCTCCTCCTCGTTGTCTGCGGCGTCCTCCTCCACCCGCGCTCTCCTCCGCCCGCGTCGACCTCCTACGTCGCAGCGTCGCCCTCAACCCACATCGCGTCACCCTCCTCCACCTACGTCTAGCCCACCTCCGCCCGCGTGCGCTTCGCGCTCCTTCGGGCACAGCACACCGGACTCAAGCGGACGTGGCCGCCACCCGACGCCCGTCTTGCTCCCGCCCTTCGCCTCCGCCTGCCCCGCTACCACCGTGTAATTTGGTGTAGTAATAAATATATCTTCATCATTCAGACACATACGACGTGTTGATTATACAAGTATGTACGAAAAAATGCGGTAGGAAACGGTGCGAGGGGCGGGCAGGGTGGTGGGTGCACACTGCTTCACTTTCGACGCCGACAAACCTGTATGCTACATGAACAAGTCTTGTACCGCAGTGTATGAACACTCGAACAGGCGCCCTTTACAAGCGTGAACTTACGTACCCCTTTGCACCCCCTGCGTTGCCCCTGCCCCACGCTGTCAATTTGCAAGCTGAAATGCTCCACCCAAACGCTGGACCGCCGGCCAGCTCTCCCCGCATCTCCGGGCATAGGTCACAGCATGCCAGTAACATCGGACAGACCGCGGTGGCGATGTCATCAAAATCGCTGGAACCTCGCTTGCTTTTGCTTTGTCTCTGTATACGGTCCAGGGCAGCTTCCAGATGCGTTAGGTAAGTATATATATAGTACTTTGATCAGCGGCTATTGATCACTGGTTGCCCTGTGCCCAAACCTGCTACAGTGTTGCCACCGAGACGGGGATTGTTCCCCGTGGCCGACAAACTCAGCGGTGCGTGACGGATCCGAGATGTGCGGCGGACTAAAGAAGCCTTCAGTGTTCTCCTTGTGCCACAGGTTCTGTGAGTATGCAGGGCTCATTTTGCGGCCATGGGGTAGGCTTTTGCTCGAAGTTCGTCACCGCAGAGGGTTGTCGAAGACGTGCGGCACTTAGGAAACACATACTCGGGCAGGCAGAATGGACGTTGACATGTGGACAGCGGCTTGATCTTATTAGCGATCCATCGCCGCCATCCCATGGACCGCGATCCGAACATCAAAACCACTCGGTTTTCGGGAAGGCACAGCTCGCCACCGTTTCCCTCATCTACCGAGCCCGCCTTCGCAGCCTGCCCATCTCTTCCCCGCCGTCCTGCCCACCCGGCTCGCGATACGAGCGCATACCTCGCCGTCCTTCGTGACACTACTGTCTTTACCTCCTTTCAACTTCACCCCAAATATGCGTTCGTTCAGCATCGTCCTTGCCGTGGCTGTCCTTGCGGCTCAGGGTACGTGATGGTCCCCCTCGCCCTGTCCCCGGATTCGGACTGAGGGTACGCGTCGCCTAGTCACTGCGGTCGCTGTGAATGACCTCCAGGTCCGCTCTGAGTCAACGTCGATCAGCCACAGCTCGACCAGGTCCACTTCGTGAGTGCTCACGGTTCGAATGCATTCGCCATTCGCGCTGACGCCGCGTCAGCCTTCCCTCCACTTTCGAAACGACCATCTCTCCCATCAGCGTCACCACCGCTTCCACTGTGTCCACTAGTAGTGTCACCAGCGCCATCACAACCAGCTCTTCCAGCCACCACGGCACCAGCTCTACGACTAGCTCCACCGGCAGCCACGGCACCAGCACCACATCCAGCTCTACTGGTACTCACAGCACTGCCTCCTCGGTGACGTCCTCCTCTTCGACCACCCAGTCTGTGACTTCCTCCTCCTCGACCGCCAAGGTGTCCTCGGCTTCCTCCACCTCCCAGACCGTCCTGAGCGTCCCTGCCACCTCGCACGGCACCAGCACCATCCTTTCCACCCTTTCCACCGGCACCGCCCCAAAGAGCCCCACGAGCACCTCAGACTCGTCCACGCAGCCGAGCACGACCCCCGGGACGACGGGTGGCGCGCTAGGCACGTTCGTTGATGGGCGCATCGGCGCCGCTGCGGTGTTCGTCGCGGGTGCTGCGGTTGTGTTCGGATTCTGAGGAAGAAGAGACGCGAGCAGCGGGGCTCCGCGCTTCGATTCGTACGGACAAGGCGTCGCTCGTCTTCGGGCCCGCCCGAGACTCGCGACCCCGTCTCTCTCCGCTTCAGCGCGGCCCAGGACTCGCCTGGGCGCGCTAGACGACCGTCTGGATCGACGAACCGCGCCCTGCTTGCTCGCTTTTTTCCCCTTCCTTTTGTTCTATTTAGGTGTGCCGTCGCGGCCTACGCGCCGGTTGGACTTCTGTGTGATTTGCCAACTATGCTTTGTGTACTACGGCGCGGCCGCGTTTAGGGTATTGTGGTGTATACCAGCTTCTGTAGAGTGCTCTCAGAATCGTAATGTTCACAAACGCATTGCTTGTTGCTGTTAGCGTGAATCGGAATCGAACCGCGGGACTGACGGAAATGATGTTGAGGCGTCTAATCGATGCTCCCGGGCGGTGCGCTGGCGCCTAGCTGCATTCGGCCCTTCTCCCATGACTCCGACTGTCGCGCACATGCGATTCCGCTATGTGAACCTCCGAGAGCCATGCTGCAAAGACGGTCAACGCGGCCCGGACACTCAGGTTGATTGCAAACTGGAGTAGACTCCCGCAGTTGACGGACGCTTGCACGACGTCCCGCAAGGCACGGACTCGACTAGTCCTCGGCCCACTTCAACATCTCGGAACTCAAGTACTTATCAAGCACTCTCAAGACAAAACTATTCCCAACACCGAGCTCGATGGCGGCAAAAAAATGCGCCTCACCAGCACCCTCTCATCTCTCCCGGTCTCCGTGCTGTGTGCCGCAACCAGTGAGTGCGCAGCTACTCTCCTTGAGTCGACCTGATATCGCATAACGGGGCCTGACGCGCGCCATTTGCGTTGACTAGGCAATCTGAATCCAACCTTCGGCCTGACCCTTGCATCTTCGCGTCTTGCGCCGCATGGCCGCTGCTAATGTAAGCTATAATCTACTTACCTCATGTTGGGTGTGTCGGCACAACGGAACACAAACAGCCCCGTGGACTGGGACTGGTGCCGTACGGAGGTTCGATCTAGATTTGGACCGGGAGAATGTCCGCTCTCAGCACGCTTGCGATGTCGCCGGGGCGGGGAACGATGGGCGCTGACGTGGAGAATGGGCGACAGAATAGAAAGGCGGAGCTTCGAAAGGTAAGTGATGTGATACCGAGGCAGGCGCGCGCGATGTCTGATGGTTCTTCGTCAGTGATTGCCCGTCTTAGAACTTCGGGATGAGCTTCTAGCCGTACATGACAGAGGCGTAAATCCAAGCGCTTGTGTCGCAAATCGTTCAAGTTCTCGATTCACTAAGGTACCTGTTGGGGGATTGTCTGCTGGCATCTCGCTGTTCGAGTGCTAGCAATTGGATATGCAATAACCGACAGCCCAATATGCCCACAATGACATGGACGAGCGTGGGCGCCCTGTGAGTGTCGATCGCGAAAGGTGTGTCTTCCCTGGATCGCTGGCATTTAATGTTACGACATCCACAGTCGGATGCAGATCACAATGCGCGCTACTTCCCCGCTTACCATTTCTGCTGTCTTTCTAGGACCGCTTCTCAAACCAACAACTCCGACGGCGTTTGCTGAAAACAAATGTGTCGTACTTCAAGCGGCCCGACAGACGCCCTTGGTAGCACGATATAAAGCCCAGTGCAACTCTTGGGTGTCGACATCGGTCCTCCGACATCCTCAGCACATCTCCACACCCTTCTCCACTCCCCAATCTCACCAAGCCAAAATGCGCTTCACCTCCATCATCGTCGCCGCGACCGTCTTCGGCACCCAGCGTACGTGTGCCTCCTCCTCCTCCTTCCGTTGTGTCTGATCACTTCCACAACTCGCAGTACTCTCCGCGACTGCCGCCCCCGCCGTCATGGCTGCAAACGCTGCTATGTCTGCCGCCGTCGCCACCGCCGCCGTCGCCTCCGCCGCGGCGGTGCACCCCAACCAGGACTTCGCGCTGTCGGCCGCGACCGCCGCGGCGCGCCCGTCTGCTGCCACGGCCGCGGCTCGTCCCTCCGCTGCCGTCGCTGCGTCTGCTGCCGTCGCCGCGTCCGCCGCGGTCGTCGCTCCCGCGCACAATGCCGCCGCTTCCGCTGCGATTGCCCGCCCCCGCCCCCCGCACAGCGCCGCCGCCGCGTCTGCTGCCGTCGTGGCGCAGGCCAGCGCTGCTGTGGTGAGTCCCAACGGCGAAGTGGACGCATGAACGGCGATATGCTGACGAGTTTGTGTGCACAGAAGGCGGACGTCTTGCTGTGAGTGGCGTGGAGACCGTCCAGGTCCGCGAATTCGCGACAGCGGACGGACCGTATCGTACAGAACGCACAGTCTCCCTTTGGTACCGTTAGGTCTGGCTTCTTCGTCTTCCCTTCAACGCCGTTAACTCTTGTCCGATATCCAACGCTCCACTTGCACTCTTTACTGGCAAATTCTCATTGTATTTCTTCAACTCCAGTTTCGTTTTACGTTAGTGTTCCGTGTATCTGTTTAAACGACTCAGGGCTGTTGGGAATACAGCAAACCATATCCTACCATCGACAACTGGTACCGCGCCATAACCTTCATCTGAATCGAAGTTTATAGGCGGCCCGTCCCGCTCATCCGTAGAGCTAGAGTCCGTCCAAACGGGCTTTTCCTGTCGCTGGCAGTTCGCAGTCCTGCGCAACATACTTGCGCTTTCGCTTCCTCCTGGAACACCGATTTCTCCCGCACGACGTCATGCATGTACGTATCTGTCATCTTCCCGTCCATCGCGAGCTCCCAGAGCGCACATATCCCGCACCGCGCCCGATTTTGGAGGGGATCGACCGTGCCTTGAAATTGAAGGTCTCCTCCGTCTCCTTCAACACTCACATCGTTCACAAGCGACTCAGGCCCGAGCATGGGCATGGTCCTCTGCGGCTGGATCTGATAGCAACGTGATATCACGCAACTCCCGACAGCGAGTGTACCGGTGCAGCGCGGCACGTAGACACGAATTTCATGCTCACGCACAAGTCAGTACTTATTGTTATGACTCGTGCGCGCGCATGCCAAATTTGTTACCCTAACTTCGACTCTTCTTCTGACCACAGGTGTCCGGGCAGGTCCAGCATGCGAGGGGTAAAAGAGGACGCCTTCCTCTCCGAGCATCAATCTCAGTTTCAAGGGTCGAGCCTGGAGTGAAGCTTCGCAGTGATTGCCAAGGCACGGCAGGGCACGACCCTCCGAAGTCGAAGCGCTCACATGTTCCAATGGCGAATTCAGCGCATGTGGTTGTGTCGCATATCAGCACGAGTCGGCCTGAGTCGGCCTGGCCAACGACCCCGAGCGGGTCGGAAAGATATGCTGAACAGCCCTCCGCCTTCCTCCGCCCTCTCCGTCGTTGTCCCACCGCGTTCAGATCCGTATCATTTTGAAACGTTCCAAACAGGGACGAAACCGAGCCCCAGGCACTTTAAACATTATAGGATGTATCGAGCAGCCGCGGCGCTCCTCGCTGTCTTCGTGCTCGTAGTACTACAAGGCGCGTCTGCTTGTCGCTATCATGTCCAAGGCTCATTCTGACGCACCCATTCTTGTCTGCAGCACACTCAGGGCACCTGGCTGTGTCCGCCGCGAAAGCATCCGAGGCGCTGATCCCGTCGGTAAGACTGTCGACGTCGTCATCGTCGCACACTGGACTCACCCCACTCTTCCCAGGACGCGCTTTTGGTTGAGCTCGAACCCGCCGCCACGTCTCTGCCGGTTGAGGTTCATATCGGCAGAGTGAGTGCCCACTCTGCCCACTTCGCGCCTATGTTTCATGCTCATACGCACCGTGTCAGACGCACCGTCGCGGTGTTCATCCACCGTCCCAGAGACCACCCCAACGCATGAACGAGCGCGACGCACCCCTCGCCAAGACCGCGGCATACACGGAAATTTCCCTGGTTGTGGTAGTGATCGTCGCGCTCCTCCTCACGTTCTACGGATCAAACTCCCTCTGAAGCGCCCTGCTGCTGTCTCTCGGTCCCCGCGTCTATCGCCTGGGTGCGCTCCTTGTCGATCCCGACGACGCCTCCACAACCGCCCGTACGTGCGTACCCTCGGACGGATCGTGGTGTTGTTTGAAGCGACGTGAGCAGCGTCGACGTCGCGCATGCGCACTGCACAGGCAGCATCTCCGACGCAGAGTCAGCGCATTTAGTGACGTATGCAGCACATACCGAGTCAACATACTATCCTGAGTAGAGCCAACTAGACAACATATGACCTGCTTGGAGATGAATATGCTGCGCATGTCATGGAGGGAGTCTGGAGAAGGAGCGCGTTGAAACGCCGAATCAATAGACGTGCCAGTCAACAGCGGAGATAAGAACGCGTAAAAGCCTGCCCTGAACCAGATTATCTGCTCGGGATTAATCTAAGCGCTTTCCGACTCACCTCGCTGCTTCGTTTCGTATCCCATGCATGTGAGAGCACGACGCATTGATACTTCCTGGTCTTTCATCGAATCTCCTCCATCTATCTGTTCTCGAAGAACCACCGAAGGCACAGGCTCCAGGTCAGCTCTCGACCGACCACCCTCCAAGTCGGGCGTGCGTAAACCCAGAACTGCCAGGAGGAAATGCGACGAGGAGCATGTGCTGGTGCGACGACGTTCACACGCGCATCTGGGTACTGGTGCAAGTGAGTCTTCATTCGCAACCTATACGCGTTCATGTCTCTTGCCTCCCAGGTCGGACCGACGACAGCTATTGAGAGAGAACATCGTCGTAAGACATACTTCCTATCTCGCTCGTGCGCGAGGCGGACCACATCAAATAGAACACAGAGATACCGCCAAAGCGCACGCCTCTCCGCGCACGCCACTCAAGCGACGTTGTGGTAGCTTGGTTCAAGAAAAGTATATAAGTCCCGCGAGTGCACGGTGAGTTCCTCAGATCAACTAAATCTCAGAACCTGTACATCGCCTGGGAGAGCGACAAGTCTCCCATCTCACAACCCCCCGCATTCTTCCCATAGGCCCGACAATCCGGTTCGTCAGAACCTTGCTCTTGGTCCCGACGCGGTCGTCCGCTGCCCTTCCCTCCAACCTGGGGCCGCCCTAGAGGAGCGCCGGGAACGGAGGGCACACCCGGTTTCCCCGCCTCAAGTGTATCCACCGGTCGCCGTCGGATCCGGGGTTCCGGCGGTAGTGGCTCAAACGGCATGGTCCCTGTTCCAGCCATCCAACCCGAACCGACTCCGGATCGATCCACTCAGACACCAGGTCTTCGCGAACGTGGTGAATGGCATACACCCCGTCGTCGAAGTGCCAAAGCCACCCGAATCACTGATTCCGGAAGCTAGAGGGATCGTCGAGTAAGCACAGTGCTGCGCTGTGGTCGTGGCGCGATACTTACGTGGTGGTTTCCTAGTCTAGGGGTGGCTCCAGCCGCCATCCAAACCAATCCCATACTCCGGCCGACGTGGAAGAACATGGATGGCGCGACGCGCGACACGCTCACGATGAGCCTCGCGGAAGCCACGTCCTCACACCAACGTCCGCCGTCTGCGCGCTCGTCGAAGGCTGTCCCGGGAAGCTGCCGAGTTCCCCTACTGTCTTCGATAACCGACCCCGCACTCAAGGTTGAGTAGGCCACGCTCGACGTCAACATCCCGACGACGAACCATGGCGAATAGTCGTCCACAACCTCAAAATACGGGCGGCCGGCGGGCGCGCGTCCTGCGGCACCGTTCAAGGCCGACGGTCAGCACGATACTCCACCGCAAGGACCCGATGGGACTCACCGAGCGACTCGGGACGCGCGCGACCGCGCACGGTAGTGTGGGCGACGGCTTGGGCGTTGATGTGCAACGGTGGCGAAGTCGACTGGGACCGTTCGACAACGACCAGCGGCGATCGAGGACCGCGCACACGCGGGTCGTTGTCGCCGTATGGACGCATGAGAAAGTCGTCAGCGTCCGGTCCGCCGCCCGCGCGACTTCCGGTCGGAGAATGCCTCGGCCTGGATTCGCCGCGCGCAGACGACGGATGGGTGGTGACGCGACCGACGGTGCCGGAGACCTGGGACGCGCTGAGCGGGGGGAATGGGAGACGTCTTGGGAAGGAGGCGGTCGAATGTGTCGTGGAGCGCCTCGGAGTGCGGGAGCGGGCCTGCGGGATGGGGAGCGGGATGGGAGAGGATGTCGAAGAAAGAAAGGAGCGGACGCCACGAGGCTGAAGGGGGTATTTGGTGGTGCTACCGCACAGCGGCAACTGTACGGTGCACGAGAATCTAGTACCGCTCTTCTCCCCTGGTTCTTATACGCCTGCCCGCGCCCACTGTGCTTTGTGTTCTGCGCTCACAGCGTCGTCGTACATGGCGCTCGTGCGCTCGGTGGTGATGCGTGCGAGTGCCTTGCGACGTTGTCTGCGGCCTCATGCGGGACGCGTCCTTTGTTTTCCGACGATCTGAAAAAGAAGGCGTTATGCCACCACTTGATCCGCACGCCCTGCGCCCTCTCGATGTTAGCAACGATTTACGATGAGTTCGGCCAGAGTTCGGCTGCTTTGTTTTCCAGTGTAGTAGCTGCTCTTAGACCCAGACGCCAACGCGCGTGCACGCACTCCACTGGACCACGCGGCTTTCATCGCGCAGGGGTGTTTGGGGGCCTGACTAGCTTCACGTGCGGACTCGTCTAGCTCGAGCCCATGGTCTCGGTGCGGGTCTTCCCTTGGCTAGGTTGACTCAACGCGCGGCCTCAGTAAACACGTCCGAGTACTCACAGCATCCGCCTCTACTCTGCTCGGAGAAAGCATACCAGTTCGTCTCAAGATTCATAATGATATTCACTACTCTAGTACTCATACAACTACTCTTCCGCCTCCCCTTTTCATCCTTGCTTCATCACATCCTTAATTTTCCGTCTCGCAAACCAGAACACATGCCTATTCCACGCGCATAGACCCCTCTGCCCTGTCCAGCCCGCGAGCAGATCCATCAAGTGCACATGGCCGAGATCGAGGTTCGACTCAGTGGCAGGAATCGAGGAGTCGTGAACCAGCTCCCCACCTCTTCCGCGGCACCCCGGGCTCGAAACGCTCTCGGTTCGCGCGCACCGTCCCCTCTGTTTGCAACCACACCAGGACGCGGGAGGCGGGTTCTTTGCTTGGGAGCTGCGTCACCTCGGTTTCGTGAGGTCTGGAGGGGCTGACAGGTCGTGGTCCGTGGGCGCAGTGCTCATCCACCGCAGCACTTGCACGTCGCTGGTGGGTGGTGGGTGGGTAACACACATAACGCACACGGCCGGCATCGCTTCCATGTTGCAGTTAATGATGATAGCATCGTTTTGTACTCAACACCCCCGTTGCTTGTTACCTGCCCGAACGAAACCGAAGCGGTGGCATGTTCGTCAACCCGAAAACCTTGCACATACATAGCGACAGTACTCATAACACTAGATCACCGTCGAGATGACCACTCGAAAACAACCTCTCCCGCCACCAGCTTCTGCAGCTGCGCGATATCTCGGTTCGTATCCCCCCCGTACGCCAACGTAACCTGCTTCGGCTCGTCGAATATCACGCCCATCTCCAGGTGCCGGAGCGGCGGCAACCCGCACTCCGCCCGCGCCCGGAAGCAGTCCAACGTCGCCCGCAATATCTCCTGCGCGTCCTGAGCGGACGACTGGTAGACCTCGTAGGTCAGCGACTCGAGCGAAGGGCAGGGCCACCGAGCTCGTTCTGGGGTGAGCGCGTGCAGGAGTGGGACGACGGTGCCTTCGCCGCGGACGCGGATGCATTCGAGGCCCGGGAACGCGCGGAAGATCTCCAGCCACCGGCCGTCGGCGGGGTGCAGCGACGGGACGACGAACGTGAGCCCTGTGATGGGGAGGTCGCTGAAGTGCGTGAGGATCTCGTCGATGGCGAGCGGGAGGGTGTAGACGCTGCTGACGTCTTTCGGGGTGGCAGCGCGCCACAAGAAGAGGCGTTCCCGCGCGTCCGGGTGCCGCTTGTTGGCGGAGAACCCGGCGATGTCGGCGACCCATTCGCCCATGCGTTGGTCCATGCACAGGTAGACGTCCTGGACGGAGCGAGGGATGGGGAGGGGCATCGTTGCTGGGGCGCGATGGGGGAAAAACGCGTCGACGATACTCAGTGGTGCCGCGTTCGTGGGAGGTTGGTGCCAGTCATTGTTAGTGAGGTCGTAGGAATGGAGGGCATTCGGGAGTGGTGAGAGGGGAAATGCGTTGAGGAGCAACGTCAAGTCGTCGCTATTGTTGGCATCAAGGCTCAAGGATCTCAAGTGAGGTAGCTTGAGGGGTAGATGGAGAGAGGTGTCGGGCGGGAGATCATGGTGTTGGTCTTGGGACGGGTGGAACCAATCCTTGTCGTTCGAACGGCACAGGGTGAGTTCCTCGAGTTGAAGGGCTGAGGAGATGCATATGAGGATATCTCGAAGGGAAGGCCACTGTGTCGCAGGGCCGGTGAGGTGGAGTGACCGGAACCGAGGGAACATCCTCGGTTCGATGGGAAACACCATGGCTGAAAGGAGGAGGTGTTGAAGTCTCGGGAAGTGTGTTTCGGTGAGGCGGAGAATCGCGGGGCAGGCGTCAGGAGACTCCACTTCGTAGAGATCGACGTGCAAGTTGTCGAGCACGGGCCATGTTATACCGCGGAAAAGAGCGTTGAGAAAAGGGGGAGAGTATTGGCCCCGCTCATCGTCATAAAACAAGGACAGAGTGCGTGTCCTGTGTGCCTCGGTGGCGATGGTTGTCCCAGCTGTTTCTGACCAGGTCGCTGGGATAAACTCTTCGTCGCCGACAAGCCATTCCGGCTCTGAGTCTTCATCATCGTCATCATCGATCTCCGCACCGGAATTTCCTTCGAGAAGGTCGATAGGAGCGAGATCAGGGGAAAGTCCAGAGTTGTAATGATATGATTCCCGGTAGAAGGAGATATCCAACGTGGCATGCTTGGAGCGGGACAGGACGAGCTTGAATAGTCGCGCGGGCATGTGTGGGGTGATGAAAGTCCATAGATCAGGCGCAGCCTCGATGACATCGCGCCACGCCCGACAGACGAGGAGGAGCACCTTGCGCCGTCTGTGAGTCCGTTTGGGTTCGTCATTGACGGGGCGAGCGGGCTGGAAGCAGGCGGCGAAGACACGGAGGAGGAGCTCGATGGGTAGACGGTTGATAGGCGGCGTACTGCTCCAGTCCGTATCCAAATCCAAGAGTATCCGCTCGTGCCCGAGAGCGGTTGAGGATGCTGTTGTGCCCTCCTCCCTGACTCCGTCCACCATCTTGCGAATGCGTCGCCGAATGCCGTCCCGCGTCGGATAGGGCGGTGGGTCGTCTGCGCAGGGGAGAGGCGCACTTGCTGAAATGGGCAAAAACCGGCAAGCACAGATCAGTGGAGGTGGAGGTCGCGGTGGAAAGAGTAGGGAGAGAATTTCTTGACTGTCGCGACAACGCTTGCGGGGTGGCGGCCCGCTCTAGTCAAGACCCTGTCAGTCTCTCACGTTTCTCATCTGCAGACTGCTCTTTCCTGCAGCGCGCGGCAGTGCTTGCAGTTGGATACGGCGCTGCGTATTTGAGGTACATAGCGGTTGGTTTCGTCGTTGAAGCCGCGCGTAGGATAAATGAACGCTATACGTATAGGACACGTACGGTACCTGCCAGAGCATCCACCGCTAGTCTGGGTTTCCTATCCTATCCTGATGCTTATACGCCTTGCACCTGCACTCATCGCGTACTTGTCCGTGGTACTCGCGCGCGCGAGCCTCGCGACGTCGTCCGGTGTCGATGTCGATGAAGCTGACGGTCGATGCGGCCGAGGCTCGAGCGCTGAGCGAGTGACTGGGGTCCTGGCTAATCCACCCCGCGAGCTGGCTGCTGCACGCTCCTCCTCATGAATCATTCCGTCCATCTATCCGAGTACGTCTTGCCCTGCACCTGATTCAGTTCTTATTGTGACCCGTGACGATCCGCATCTTAGGAAGTATGCCTCTTCCACCTCCAGACAACCTGCCACCCAGTCCAGCACGCGACGAGATTCGTCAACGCATCAGCGAGATCGAGGCCGGAGCCGTCGATGGGCTGACATCCGCTCTGGAAGACGAGCGGCGGGCCCTGTACACCAAGTGGAACAGCACGCTTCCCATTCAAACCCGTCTGCCCATCGAGCTCCTCCTCCGTGTCTTCGCCGCCTGCTTCCAGCCCGCTCGCCCCGTCGATGACGATCCCAAACGGACCCACAGACGGCGCAAGGTGCTCCTCCTCGTCTGTCGGGCGTGGCGCGATCTCATCGAGTCTGCGCCTGATCTATGGACTTTCATCACCACACACATGCCCCGACGACTCTACGAGCTCGTCCTGTCCCGCTGCAAGCATGCCACGCTGGATATCTCCTTCGACCGGGAGTCGGAATGGTTATTTGGGGGTGTCCCTCTCTCCCCCGACCTCGCACCTCTCATCCTTCCCGAAGAAGACGTTCCGGAAAAAGGCGATGATGAAGACGAGGAGAGCCAGACGGGCGATGACGAGTTCGTTGACGAGTGGATTGTCCCCGATGATGAGGGTAAATCGTCCTGGTCGGAGGCTGCCGGGATAGCCATCGTCGCTCACTCGCACAGGATCCGCACTCTATCGTTATCAGACGATGGCGCTCGCCACCCCCGCAAGTATTCGATGTCGTTTCTCCAAGCCCTCTTCTGCGATAGAGCCTGGCCCGCTCTCGAAGCGTTGTGCGTCGAAGATGCCGGAGCGGTGAAGGGTATTCTCTGCGTCACCTCGAACTTCTTCCCGAACCTTCAGCACCTCCAGCTTGAAGGCGTGATGTTCCCCATTGAGCCGACGATGTTTCCTCGCTTCAGGTCGCTTGACCTCAGCGGTGCAAGGACTCGGTGGCTACCCCTCGAAGACCTTCTCATCTGTCTCTCCTCGGCCCATTACCTTGAAGAACTGTCGCTGGCTGTGGATGGTCCTATAATCAGCAACTCACACGAGGTGGCTCATCCACCCCAACTTCGTCTTCCCTTAGAGCTACCGCATCTGTCCTCTCTGGGAATCGGTTCCAACAGTAACGACGAGATGGTGTTGCTCCTTCGCGCCTTCCCTCTCATCAGGTCCCCTACTGCTCTCGACTTTCTGTACATTTCCAACGATGACTGGCGCCAACCTCCCCCAAACACGAACTCAGGCCGCGGTCTCAGCATCGTGGATGCCTTCTTCCCGACTCGCGCACCTGACACGACACCCATTCCCATCCCCCCTTCCGTGCGCAATCTGTACATCTATCTTCCCATGGAGATCACGGGGTTTTCCACCACCGATCGGTACAGTGGAAAACCTGAGAAAGTCAGACTGTTCACGTGGAGGGCCGAGCCATTCGACGACCACGTCGACGAGGAGGGACCGCAGAACCTCTACGGTCTATCTAACGCCATCGACGACGTCCTCATTTTGTTCCGGCACATCCCCCTCACCCAGCTCACGTTCATCGCCCACGGCCCGTTGCACCCTGCCGACAACCGGTGGGACGAGCTCTTCCGCGCGTTCCCCGCGCTTGAGTACCTCTACGTCGTCGGAGACGGGACTCCCATTGCCATCCTCCATGCGCTCACTCCTTCACCCTTAGACGACTCACCTGCGCCCTGTACGGCCCTGGAAAGCTTGACGTACATGATCAACAAGCCGAATGTGGAAGATACGAAGGCAACCTTCGAGGCTACAATTGAATGCCTCCGGGCTCGTGCGGCACGAGGGATGCATCCTCTGCGGGAGCTGGAGATAAATGTGGACCTGCCGAGGACGCGTGAGGAGCGGGAACCCCCGGTCGATGTCGAGCCGTACCTGGCGCAGCTGCGCGAGATGGTGTCGGGCGAGTTCGAGTTCTTGGATTCGTACAATATTTGATGCTTGGCAGTGGCTTCGCTGTGATATGTAGCTAAATTGGCGTTGTATTCTATGCAGAATGCACAACTTTCAAAGTCAACGGCCTTGCAGAAACGCGGCCATTGGTGTGACGGTAGTGTCATGGTGGAGATGCGCGCGGCCCTCGGCCGAGACCTGCCACTCTCACACTCGGATTCGGCGCCCGGTGCAGCACACCTTGTCTCCCATCCGCATACATCCACAGGCTGCTCTTCCATGGAACACAAGCACCATCAAGGCTCTAGAATATTTTCCTGCAAGGAAGACCGCTAGGCTGTTGCTCCGCCCGCGTTCGTGTCCCGGTCGCCATCATGATAGAGTGTTCACGCACGGCAGGGGAGTATGTCGTTTGATGTGGATAGTTGCAGCAGATCATGTTCTACTGTGCTGCGGAATTGATCTGCACACAGATAATGCATGTACTCGAGTACTTACGTCCAAGAGAGCGTTTGATTAACCAAGAAAGGCGCGATTCGGGGATTCGAACGCGAGCCCGACAATAGCGACGACAGGGGCGCGGGAAAAAGGCCCACGGGGCGCGCGGCGGAGATAGAATCAAGCGCCACGCGGGCATTGTCGCCAGGCTTTTCACCGTCGTGCTCACGGCCACAGACCACTCTCCCTTTTCCCGGCCGTCCACCACTGTTCCCCCGCATACACCCACCTGGAAACCTGCCTCCTCCACTGTCATCAGCGCAGCAGATCCGCCACTCTCCTCCTCTCTGTCTCTGTACATCAAACCAACCATGAATCGGTCTCAACCACAACAGTCATCGTCCCGCATCCTCAAGCGCAAACGAGACGACTCGCTCGAGCCTTCAGGCTCTTCCGGAGATGCCCAAACCACCATCGACATCCTTCACAACGACGACGACCCACCTTCCGACGCTGATACGGAGATCATCGAGCCCGAGAAGTCAAACGAGGAGTGCATTGCCGCCGCGGTCGAGGCGGGAGTCAAGGTGCGCGACTACGCCTACCAACGCCCTAAGAACCCCGTCGCCCCTGCGCCCGAGATCTGGTGGTCGCCCCTCTCCACCCTCATAGCGTACGACCGGTACCTCCGCCTGTCCGCTGGCTATTGCCTGCCCGAGATGGTCCCCACTGGCAAGGTCCTCTACCACCTCCGCGCCGCCGGCTGGATCTCGGCCGCAGAGGCTGACTGGAACTGGTCCAAGGCGGACAAGGAGCGCGTCGCCGCATACGCCGACCGCCCGCAAGGCCCTTACTCCGTCGTCATCCCCGCACACATCAAGCGTCCGACGCGCGCGTACCGCGCCGCGCTCCTCCGCGCGATCCACCACCCGAGCCAGGACGACGTCCCGGAGAAGCAGATCTACATTCCCGAGGACGAGCCCGACATGGACGACGGCCCGCCGCGCGTGTCCGCATTCCAGTTCGCGCGGCTATCCCTCGTTCCGCGCGCCGCACTCGACGTGGGGCCGTCCGCCCCTTCCACCGCGCAAATTCGCCCGGCGTACCGCACCCACAAACGCCGCCGCATCAGCGGGCCCATTCTCAGCATGCCCATCCTCCCCTCCACTCGCGACGGGACCACGACGGCGCCGGCGGAGCTCCAAGTGGCTTTCGCTTCTTCCTCATCGCCTGATGGCGGTTCCCTGGGCAGGAGTGCCAGTCTCTCGTCGATGCGCTCGGACACGCCCCCGGTCGAAGACCTCCCTGCCCCGGCGCCCGCACCAGTGAGACGCACCCTTGGCCGGACCAAGACCCTCGCGAGTATATCCGTACGGTAGTTTCTGTGATTGTGTTATCTGGTGAGTCACTTCGACTAGCCTTCTTATCCCGCACCACGCGCTCATCGTAATATCCTTTTCAGGTGGGAAGTGTTATCGTCAGTCGTCAATGAACCTTGCTACTTTGTACAACTAGCCCACCCGAGCGTAACGTCGGGACATCCATTCGGGGACACGGTGCGCCAGCTGTCAGCCATATTCTTATCTGGCGCCGCCGCCGTTACCATATCAATACGCACACATAGAGCATTGCCTCTACCCCACGATACCTCCCTACAATCCACTGTAGATTAGCGTACTTATTCTTGCCAATGTTTTTGTAGAATTTATTGCCACAGCGTCAATTCGAGGAATTTTGTCGACATCTTCGCCGGGCCGAGCGTAGACTTGGATGATCGGCCGCACCAGTACTGGGAGACGACCTCCCTCAACTCCTCGAACTCGCATGTGCCCCGGTCGACTCCCTCCTCACTTCGCGGGGACACCGCGGGCGACCGCAGCGGCTCCATACCCTCTTGCTTCCGCGCGCGCAAACACTTCCCTATCGCCTCGAGCATCGCGGCTCGACCCCCGCCCTCCTTCCGCCCTCGTCCCCGACAGTGAGCTCGGCGGGCTCCGACGCGCCGCGCACATCGCCCTCCCTTTCCCTTTCCCAGGACTTGGAGCGTCGAACAGCGCGCGCCAGGGGTCTCGGACCTCGAGCACAGCGAGCGCGGGGAACGCGCGGCGGCGGTGGCGGCCGCCGCCGCGTGGTTGCTGGCGACTTTGAGCTCGGCGAGGGCCACCAAGGGTGGCTGGCCGCGAGATGGAGAAGAAATAGCACAGGCGGAGAGCATCTCGGCCGTGTGCGCCGTAGCAGGCTGCGGCCGGTCGTCAGAGATGATGGGGGACATATGTAAGATGAGACTTCGAGGAGCCACCCTGTCGCTCTCCCAGGCGATGTACGGGATCTAATATCTCTGTAGACCACTGTACTCGCGAGGCCCGTATTTTCTTTTTGTAATAAGCTACCACAGCGTTGCTATGTGGACGGTGTGGCACGCACTTGAGTGGAGCTCGATCGCTCACTAGCACTGTCCGCGCGCGATGCGTGTGGTAGAATGAGCTGCAGATTTGCTGCAGATGCGTTTGCGCTAGCGAAGGGCGATCGAGTTGATTCGTCTACGGTCACAGAAACTGCGCGTGTACGTCGGAGAAACACATCTGTAGGTGGGAGGTCATAGAGATTCATACAGCTGTGACTTGTGGCGATGGCCTGGGGACCGTTTAGGATACCGCCGTAACTTCAGGGCAGACTCAGATTCCAGGCCCGCTGAGCGCACACCATCAACAGTGGCCCATACGCCACTACATATAAAAATCCACCATCATCTCCACGCCGGCACTCTCGGCTTGAGCAGGATGAAGAGCGGGAAACAGCTCTACACTATTAGTGGAGCACTGAATAATGACTGAAATCGCGTACAAGTCCCTTCTCCAAACGGGCAGCGCATTGGTCCACCAGGGCGAGCATGTTCTCGTCTTCCCGTGCACCTGCCTCCCCCCGTCGTCCCTCCTCAAGTCCCTTCCCGGCGCCAGGCTCATCGGACCGCTCGACTGGCCACGCGAGATGCATCTTTAGCTGCGCGAGCTGGGACATGCCCTCGCGCCTCCGCGCGCCGAAGCAGTCGACCACCGCCGCCAGCAGCTCCTTTGACACCAGCGGGTGCAACACCTCCCCACCCTGGATGCTCAAGACCACGTCCTTGGCATCTCCGACGGTGACCTTGCCCAGGTTCGCGCCTAAGCGCTCCTCGGAGTCCTCCGCGCCGTCGCCCAGTGCTCCTGCACCGCCCGTCGCGGCGCCGACAGGCGGCGCACCCGGGCGCAGCGCGTCGAAGAGCGGGCTGACGTCGATGTGGGCGTGGACGCGCAGCTCCTTGAGCCCGCGGAGCCCGCGAAAGAGCGCGCGCCAGCTCGCGACCGTCGCGGCCTGCTTCGTGTGCGTGGAGAACACGTACAGGTGGTCGGGCGCCGTACCGCAGAAGAGGCGAGGGGCGTCGTGGAGTGCGTCGGTGAGGGAGTAGTGAGGCTCGAGCTGGTCGTGTGCGCTGACGCGCAGAGTGAACGTCGGCTCGTTTGTTGACGGGCACCGACGGCCGTAGAAGGCGACGCCGGTTTGCTCGAGACACACCTTTGTGGAGTGGAGGGGGGAGAGGGAGAGGGGAGGAGGGCCCATGACGCTCTCGTCACCGAGAAGCGCGTCCAAGAGGCTCCGAGGTCGCGCTTGGGGTTGGATTGGGGGGAAAAGGTCTTGCCATCTTGGGACTACGACGTACACCTTGATCCTCTTCGAAGAGAGGACTTGTCGTATGAGCGGGGCAAGTTTGAGCGGGCACGAACTGAAGATCTTGAGATAGGTCAAGCAGGGGAGTTTGAGTCCGCCGCCGAAGAGTGGTGCGTCCATAATCCCGTTGACTGCTTTCTCGAGGTGGTCCGAGGGCGCTCTGATCGTGAGCGATGTCAGCCGTAGGAACGGCTCTTGAACGTGCGAGGCGAAGAATTTTCCGAGGGTTGACGTCCAGGGCGATCGGTAGAGAGTGGCAGGCGCGACCTTGAGCGACTTGATGGTGCGAAGCAACTGGGGGTTGACGAAGGGAAGAGAGCCTGCGAGGGAAAGATGGCTGAGCTTGGGGAAACACTGAGGGAGGTCGAAGATGAACTCCGTTCCAGAGATGCGTGGGCCGTCAACACCTCCAGGAACGTCAAGGTGCATGTGGGTCAGCAGCGACCAAGAGGTGCGCTGGAAGAGGATTTCTACAACGGGCCCTGACGTGTTGGGAATAACTATTTTGCGGATCCGGTGGGACTGCGCCACAACAAGCGGCATTAACGGGACTTCCCAAGGGTTTCGTGGGCCAAACCGGCCGCCAAGGTACACGTCGAGCGGCGCATCGGCGCAGTGGGAGATCCAGCAGGAGAGGTGCTCTATGGGCGTGGATGGTTGGACGTACAGCAGTGACCAAAACTTCGGGGTGCCCGCCACCAAATCCCTCCACTCGCGACACACGAGCATAAGATCCGTCCGCCAGTCGAAAGGTTCAACAGAGCACGGCCAAAGTACTGACGGCAAGTTCGGAATTAAGGCAAAGATTTTAATGAGGAGCTCGCGAGGGAGGCAGTTGACGGGGAGCATGGAATTCCACAATGAGCGCAGTCGGTCGCGTTCAACTTCAAGATCCCGTAGCGAATCTTCGACCTCCTTCAAACGTCTTTGTACTACATTGGGCTGCATACGCGGGGATGCTGATGGACTTGGCAGCGATATGCTTGCGAGCGTGGCCGGGGTAGATTTGAGACGGGTGGTCTGTCGCGCGGGCTTGAAGAGTACGGTGGTAGGTGTTTGTGGGCAAGGCAAAGGTTCCGTCTAGTGACAGGAACCAGCAAGTTTGAGCAGGATCCGTGGTCGTGGCGTCTCAGGAGAGAGAGAGAGAGCGATTAGGACCCTTGGCACCGCTTACCAGAATCCTGGGTACGACTGCTACTACGCCTCGACATTTTGGCCTCTCTGCTCCATCCACGATCAACCTATCTACCTTGTTGGCTTTGTTGTGACTGAATATGCGGTGTGGAAGGATACGTAGGAGGGAGCGCGAAGCATACCGGAGCTGATGAACGAGTGCGCGGCCCAGTCGGAGCAAGGACTGGTGGACGAGGTAGATCTTCGTGAATATGGGTGACACTTACTCGTGGTGCTCTTTCTTCTAATCAAACCCAAGCGCATCAGCCTACACACTGGACGTCGTCAATAACTAGATCGAGGCGCATCCGATCCTCGGTCATCACGCATTGGCTAAGTCAGAGGGACACAGCACGTTCAATAGCAACGCCTGCGACTAATTCCGGATAACTACCGCCTCTTCAGGACGCTCTCGGTGCGCGCCGCCCGGATCTCTCGCCTGATGCCTAGCGTGAACGGGAAACCGACCGCCAGCGCGCCGAGTGTGTACTTCGCCTACCGTCGAGCGACGTCGTCAGCGGGCGAGCAGAACGGAAGGAGGCTGGAAGAATATGCACTCACCCCCAAGACGAATCCCGTCCTGTGCTTCCGGCACAGGTAGAAAACGTACGGCGTCTGCACGCCGTGGCCCACGACGGTGATGCCCTGGCAGACTCGCAGCACCCAAAAGGGCATTTGTGAGAGCATGGCGCGCCCGAGGGCAAAGTACGGCGCATATGCTGGGTGAGAAGCCGCGAAGACTTGCGTGGCGGTACAATACAGGACCCAGGGGAGGAAGATGAGGACTGCGATGAGCCCGGGGACGTTGACGCTGAACTTCGTTACTGGGGGTGCGCGAACCTGGGACGGACAAGCCACGAAAGTGAGCACGACCGCCGGATCAAAGTCGCAAGGGGTGAGCGGGAGCGATGGTTCACATTGAAGTGAGAGATAAAAAGAGACACACCATGAGCGACGACTCTTCCATGATACAAGCCAGCGATGTGTTTCGTCGGAAGATTAGCCTAGAAGAGACCAGCAAGTAATTTAAGGGCATCAGTAAACAGCTTCTACTATTTGTACAAACCTCAGGTCCCGCAGACAGGCCTAGTCAGATATAAAAGCAAATTGCTGTAATCACCGCAGTGCGTCCTCTGTAAGCCGTGACGCTTCGCGAAAGCAAGCTTGCAGCACACACCTTATTGAAGGAACGCACTCTGCGGCCGGGACCGGCTCCCAGACGCGAATGCACGAGTAAAGAGATGAAGAGGACGTAGACGTTGGACTCTAGATCGTCATCATGAGGGGTTTGAGGTGAGCGGAGCCGGCGACGAGAGGAACTAGAGTACGCCCGCTCGGTGCTACTCGAGGATGGCGGGAGGAAGAGAGATATTCGGCGCTTCGGCGCTCCCATTGTAGGGAGCGCTCTGGCGGAATCACACTTGAGTAGGCGTCAAGACCCTCGCCGCTCACGCAAGTATGGAAGACAGTGAATGCAAGCATAACAGTACTAGTACGTCGAAGTAGAGCTCGTATCATATGCATCGTAATTCTCATTCTATTTTGCTCCCCGTGCCGTCCCTTCCGCCTTGCCTCCACCGCTCACGAAGTCTGCTTCGCCAGCTGCGCGACCTTGGCCTTGATCGCCTCGTCCGACGTCTCGCTCTCGTCCCGGATCGCGATCTCCTTCTTCTCAACCGCGTTGTGCTGCGTCCCGAGGTAGAAGTCCGACGTCATCAGCCCCGCCGCGATCGGCACGATCGTCGTCACCAGCGCGGCGATGAGCAGCGGGCGCATCGCCCCGTTGTACGCTGTGCCCATCGTCAGCACGCCACCCGACCGCGTTCGTTCACTCCACCACCGGCGCGACGCACCTTCGACGATGAGCTCGTGCTCGGGGACGTCCCGCGCGACGACGATGCTCCCGAAGATCTCCGCGATCTCCGTGCTGTTGTACGTCGCCCCGAGGCGCTCGGTCAGGCCCTTCGGCACCAGGTCGTTCCACACCGCGGCGCTGATCGCGGACCCGATGCTGCCCCCGATGCTCGTCCAGAGGGAGAGGATGGCGGAGGCGAGCGCCATGTCCTGGTGCGGGACCGAGGCCTGGACGGCGACCTGGGAGCCGACGACGGAGAAGGCGCCGCCGAGGCAGGCGACGAACTGGCCCATCACGAGCACCGCCGTCGAGCGGTTCTTGAGCGTGTAGAACTGGATGCCCTGGCCGCTAGGTGCGAGACGCGGGGTCAGAGACGGGCGCGAGGAGAACGGGGAGGGTAGAGGCGCACATGGCACGGATGCAGAGGCCGGAGAGCTGGAGGTACTTGTAGCGGTGGGTGTAGCGCTGGATGGCGCCTGCGACGATACCGAAGAAGCAGAGCACGAGGGTCTGGGTGTAACCCCAGTATGTGTAGGTCGACAGCTGAGAGCGACTTCAGTCGGCGCGGATACGGACACATAAATACACATGTTCGACTCACAGACCAGTCGTCCTTGATCACGTACACCCACGAGTAGAAGTAAGTGCCGGAAAGGTATCCAGAGAGGTAGTAGAAGAAGTCGATGATGACGGAGCAGATCAACGAGCGGTTCCAGATGCGCCGAGGCATGATCGGGTGCGCGGCGAACTTCCACTCCCAAACTGCGGTGGCAATCATGAGGACCACGGCTACGACGAACATAGCGATCAAGGAGGCTGCGAGAATGTCAGCAATACGACGTTGATGCAAACACGGACATGGACTCACGGTTCGAAAAGCCTCCTTTCGCGGTGGTATACAACGTGAAGGGAAGGAGGAGCATGGCGAATGAGAAGCCGATGAGGAGCAGGCCCAAGCCATCGATGAGTTTCCAGGCGTCGATGACGGTCTCAATCACTGTCTTTGTCCCCTTCTCACCCTTCATGGTCTTGCGGCGAACGTTCCCAGAAGCGGCGAGAGACAATGCTGAACGGAAGGTGGGTTGATAGAGGAAAAAGAGGCAGGACTGCCATTACTAACCTCCAAGCTTCTTCGCTCTCCTGTCTCCCCAGAACAGCACAAGGAGCGCAGGGGTGATGCAAACGGGGACAAGGATGGCGAACATGCCAAACTGGAAAATCTTGTGAGATAGGATTGACGGACAAGATTGGACCGACACCCACACCCCAGCGCCAGCCGTTGAGCGTATTCGCCGAAATACCGGTGGTGATGTATGTTGAGATCCACACATTGAGCAGCCACGGCACCGAACTGCATATCGCGCTGATGAAACCGCGCCATTGCAGCGAAGTGATGTCCGCGATGAGGATGCCGGTGAGGAAGTCCAATCCCGTGCTACCTGGTGTGTAGATGATCTCCCCGGCGGCGACAGCGTTGACGGAGTTTGACGACGCGACGATGATGTAGCCCAGTGTGAAAAGCGCCACGGAGAGGGACAGCGCAAGTGGGCGCGAAGCGAGGTTCGCAAGCTGCGCGCCGAATCAGAGACAATAAATGAGAGCAAGGATCATGCGCACCTTGGCTAGGAAAGGCTTCGACACACCGCTCATGATGGCAGTCGCGACGGAGATGGTGCCAAGGATGGTGTGTTCCGAGTAGGAGGAAGTGGCATACTGTACGTACGTGTACGTCGTTCCGCTCGCAAGAGCATACACGTAGAAGATGAGGACGATTGAGCTGCATGAGGACTTGTTAAGCCGCACGAGAAGGAGGAGGAATCCGCGTCGCGTACATCCAGAGGAGCCAAAGCTTCCAGCCCTTGCCGAAGACGATATCTACGCCGCAACGGTTGAGGAATGGGCGACGAAAGAGTTGGGATTGGACACGCACATAGAGCCTCTATCTTCGTGACACCTTCGTCTTGCTCCCGTAGAGCCTCGTCGCCAACCGCGCCGCCCTTCTCGTTCAGGCTACCGCGTTCCGGGTCGTGGACGCCAGACTTGATGTCTTCGTCCTCCGACGCGTGACTCGCGCGGTCCAAAGGCTTTGAGTGAACGAGATCGACCATGGCTACAGCTTTCTGGATCCTTGTGTCTCCAGAGGACGCACCGAACGGGGAGTGGTCAGAGGCGGAGGCGGAGGGGGGGAACGCGAGGGTCGACCATCTTATCAGACAAGGGCAGCTTATATCTGATAATCTGCAGGTCCGAAACTCGGCAAACGGGCGTGCCTTGAGGTCGAGGGACTAGAGCACCGTGGGGATTCTCCGAAGATGAAACATGCCCTTGCTACATCTCAAGATCTCAGGACTCAGGACTCGGCCAAGCCCACTGCGTGCCAAGAGATATGCACTTACGGGGTTCTGGTCGAATGGTGGAGAACGCAGGATGCCATCCCGAGCGCATACATTCACGTTGAAAAACTTCAATCCTGAGTGGAAAAGTCGTTTGGAACAAATCACACCGGTGAGCGAGAAGGTACTCACCAGGACTGGTCCCGGCTCGTCGGGTTTGTGTGGCGGGGGCGGCCGGTGGACGGAATAGCAGTAGCACCAATCTTGCAGGTCAGGCCACGCGAGAGGATGTTCCTGGCCAGTTCGGAGCGCAAAGACCGAGTGCGGGTAAATTTTGAAGCTTCGAACGCAGCTCCAAGACCACAACGAGGGTGTGACGGAGGCCCGGTCATGTTTTCCGTAGCTTGATAGAACGTGTGTAGAAAGGCTCCAATACAGTCATGTTCTCGATTTGAGGCGCATGTATAGAGTGAAGGATTGCCATGAAGAAGTGGAAGTGGAGGTTGAGTGGAGGAGAAAGGGAAGACGCGCCGACTCAGGAAGATCGACGCCGAGTCTAGTTTGAGACTGATCAATCTTATCAGATATTACATGGCCAGTTTGTTCCCGGCCACTCACCTCAGCGGCAGGCTCGCGCACCTCGTCCTGGCAAGATCCCGAATCATGGCTGCACACGAAGTCGATATCCGTCGCTCACCTTCAGAGACGATTTTTATTTCTGCAGTGTGTCCCTGGGTCCCGAGAAGCATGCAAGCGAAAAGGTATATTCTTCCTGCTGTGATGACATAAGCAGTTCGCCACGTTACGATACCCACGCAGGACGTGGGCTCGATCGTGTCTTCTCATCCCTTACCGCGATGAGAGTCACCTTAGAGCACATGGGCAGCAACTACGAGCCCTACGTCGTCCTTGAGGTCTACGACGTCGACACGATTCGTGAGGTCAAGGAGAAGCTTCAACAAGCATCCTTGGTTTTCCGGTGAGCCTTCCCTCGCGCTCTATCCCGCATTTGTCCTCGCCGTCACTCACTCGAACTACAGGGGAGTGCCTTCGGAGCGCATTGCCCTCATCATTCCGAAAAGCCAGGTTGGCTGGAAGGGTTACCACAACGACGAGAAAGCGGACGCCCCACACGTCTTCCGAGGCAAAGACGGCGACGCTACCATGCTCTCCCAGTATGAGGTCCGCGACGGCCATGTTTTCAAGGCGTTCATCACCCCAGCTCCGTTTTCTTGACTTGCGGAGCTGTGACTCGTAGCGCGATCAGATATCCCGCGTCAGACTATGAACTGTATATCAAGGCTTCGAATAAGGGACTCTGACTGGTGCCGGTGCGTGGTCTGCATGCTCGATCCCTGTGATTGCTATCCTCGTTGACTCAAGAGCTTCTTATAGCATGTAATATAATCCATATCGGATGGACTAGACATTTTTTCAGGTTCGCGCCGCATAGGTCGACGCACTCTTCGGCCCAGAGTAATGCGCATGACGACGACTGTGTGCAAGTTGAGTCGATCTTCAGATTGGTGGCATAACGTTCATAGATTCATGATCATGGCAAACATGCACGGCCATAGTGTCATAACGCGTCCACACAACCCTCGATCCCTTCACCGACCCTCCCCTCCTTCTGCACGCACTGCTTGTCCTTCGCCCTCCACTCCTCCTGCGTCTCCACTGGCAGCCACGCACACTCGCCCGCCTTCGGGAATTGAGTTTTGATCTCGTGCAGCCTCCTCACGCTGTGGATGAGCTTCTCCACCTCCAACTCATGCCCATCCCTCTTCACCAGCCTCCCCCCGTCCGGGCCCTCCTGGATCGCCTCCTCTGCGCTCATGACCTCCAGACCGGGCGCCCACGCCTCCTCGTATCCCTCGACTTTGAAGGCCTGCACCTCCCCGACGAGCACCTGCATCCCCCCGGGACCCGGGTCCTCGACCTTGACGACCACTGGCGAGGAGTACCCCCGCTTCGAGCCCGAGCGCGCGGCGTCTTTCTCGGCACGGGTGGGGGCGTCGAACGGCTCCGCACGCGCTGCGTCTGCCGCTGCAGGCACACTTGCCCACCGAGCCCGCCGCGGCGGCGGCCCGGCCCGGTCGACGCATGTGAAGACCGACAGCGATGACGACGGCCATCCGGCGCGCGGCGCGCACGTCGTGCGTGACGTAGACCTGGCCACACTCTCCTGCTCCTGCGCGTGCGCGGCTCGGGGGCCACGCGGGGCGGCCTGGAGATGCGTCGCGTGCGCCGGTGCAGCCGCCCCGCCCTCGTGCGCCGACGCCCTCTCGCCGCGCGGCGGCGTGTCCTCTCTCTGCCGGTCTTGGTCAACCTCAAGACGTCGTGCACAAAGGGGGAAGGGACGTACCAGCTGCGTCTCAGCGTAGTAGTAACTGCGCAGGCCCTCCCGGATCCTCAGCGGGAACAGGTGCGACATCGGTGGCGGCGGCGGCGGCGGGCACGACCTCCGCGCGGACGCGGTTGGCGGCGGGAGGTATAGCCTGCCCGTGTCCTCCCCGGCGTCGGTGAGGACGGCGAACAGGGACGTGCTCGCGCTGGGCGTCGTCGTCGCGGGCGCGGTCGCGGCTCTTGGAGGCGGCGCGGTTCGATCGTGGCCGGGGGTGGGGAGGGGGTGGTCGTGTGGTGGGTGGCGGTGGCGGCGGCCAATGTGCAGGCGCTTCACCCGGTGCGCGAGCTGCGATGTTGCGTTGTCCGGAGCAGGCGGGAGTGCGTCGGGGACGGAGAGCTGGGCGCCTCGAGTGGCGTGGGTGGACTTGTGCTTGCGATCGCCGTGCGTCGCGTGGTATGGACGGTGGACGACCATGACGGGATGAAAGGCGGGCGAAGGGGAGACGCGGCAGGTGTATGTGGGTTTGAACCGGGACGCGGGCTCGAAGGCGGGGATTAATACGGTGCGTCGTAGAGGAGGTGCACTGGTCTTGTGCCGAATCGGGCGAGAAACGGTTCTGGAGTACACGGATTTGGATTTGTGTGTCCACTCCATCAGCTGAGCGCGCACGCATTGGGAAGGAGGTGGCAGAGTAAGGAAAGGGCATGGCTTGCGGCGGTGCTTCTATCGCGTATCAGCCTGGACGGAGTGGATGAGTCGATAGGCCGCAAAGACCGCACTGCTGCAAGAAGCTGGCAGCAGGCCTTGTCGTCCCGAGTCACAGCCACTGCCCCCACCCCCCGAGCTCGTGTGGCAGTCCTACGGAGGATGAGTGAACATTCAACAGACAATCCAGTCCCCACTCGCACCGCGGGATCCGCCTGCACCGCGAGTGCGAGTGTGTTGGCACTGACTCCGCTTTGTGTGCTACCATTTCCGGGAACCTTGTACAAGGCGCCTCGAGGCGTTTCCGAATCATCGAGCGCTAGCGATGCTGACTCCGTACTAGACCAAGGCAAGCAACTGGGACGGTCTCCGACTCTTCGCAGTCCACCTTCACCCCTGCCGCCCCTGCCCCTTCCCCTCGCTCCCCCCTTCCATCTTCGTCGCCTTCGCCTTCGCCTTCGCCTTCGCCTCTGCCCCTACCCTCACCGCCCTACAACTCCTCCTCTAACTCCTCCTCCGAACCAGTCAACTCCTCCTTCAGATCCCCAATCGCACTAAACACGCCCATCCCCGGCAAGAGCCGCTCGACCTCCCGCGCCGTGATCCGCCCCGGCCGCCCGTCCGGCCGCACGTGGAACGACCCGTGCCTGTACCACTCGAACATCTCCGCCGAAACCGATCGCCCGACGACCCTCGGTGCTCGACGACGGCGAGGCGCTGTGGGTGCAGGTGCGGGCGCGGGTGCAGGCGCGCCAGTCGCGGTCTGCACGCGCGTGCGCCAGGCGAGGATGGCGGCGAGACCCGAGGCCGAGAGCTGAGCCGTGCGCACGGGCGCTGGGGCATCCCAGTGGGCGCGGGGCGGGCCTACGAGAGCCGGCGCAGGGTGCGTCGGCGCGCGGATTGCCCACCACTCTTGAGCTTGAGCACGGGCGAGGTCGTCGGCGCGGGGCTCGTAGGCATACACGTGCACGTGACGGTCCTGCGCGGCGGAGATGGTGGCCCAGCACAGCGGTCCCAGTCAACATTGCAAGCCCGTCGCACGATGAGGGCGCAGAACGACGTACCAGATGTCCGGGCCCACCGGGGCGTAGGATCCATGGCGGCGGGTGAGCCGCCCTGACGGATGGGAAGAAGGTCGGCCAGGCGCTCAATTCCACAGTGCGCGCAGGGGGGCTCGGGGATTCGAACGGGACCGGCACGGGGAGCGGTATGGGGCTGAGCAGCGCAGTGGGGCCGTCGGCGAGCGTTTCCTCGACCTCCTCGGCCTTGACGGTGAGCACCCCCTGTGCGGTGCGGTCGAGGGCGTCGTGGGTCGGTGGCTCCGGGTCACTGTTCTTGTCGTTGTCGTTGTCGTTGTTGTCGCCATTATGACCATCCTCTCGAACGTCGTTCTCCTCGGCGCACCCGAGCTCCCGCTTGATCGCCCCGTCCCCCTCCGCCTCGTCCCCCTCCGCCGCGGCCACCGGGGCCTCGGTCGCCGCCACGCGAGCCCTCACTTCCACACTCGCGACCGCGACCGCCCCGCCCCGCGCCCGGCCGCCCGCGCCCGACGAGCCAAACGACCAGCTCCGTGACGCCAACACACGGCGCCGCGGCGCCGGCCCCGCGCCCCGGTTCGCCCGCCGCGACGGCGTGAGCGACTGCGGCCCGCGGCCACTCGTGCCCAGCGGCAGGTAGACCTGTCGAGTGCGCTGCGACGGCCGCGGCTCGCCGGACGGGCCCGCGCGGCGCTTCGCGGCGTGCTGGGGGGCCCCCTTGTCGTCGTCGTCGTTCTCCTCTGATGTGTCTTCGGGGCTCCTGCGTCGCTTGCGGTCGCCGTTGCTGGGCGGGGTGGGCGTGCGCCCGGTCGGACCCCGTCCTGCGACGAGAACGGATTGGAGGTCCATGGCGGTGTTGTGACGATGGTGCGAGCGAGCGCGTAAGGAGAGAAGGGTGTGAGTAGAGACAGTGTGTGCAGGACCCCGAGGGACCAGTGCCGCTTTCGATGTGCGGTTAAGTACGCGCGTGAGGTGTGTATGGTGCCTCTCTCTTGTGCCCCGAGAGTCGCGAAGATGTTAGGGCACTCCATGTCATCGATTATTGTCAAACGCGACACCAAGTGTGCGCAGCAGAGCTTCCCTGTGCGAGCTAGGCAACAGAAGAGCACGAAAAAAGGATGAGCTGTCAACTCGGTGCGAGGTTAAGATCGCATAGACCGAGTCCCGGACGAATCTGGTACCAAGAAGCCTGGCGTCGCGTGAACTAGTGTGTGCATAGTCGCTCTGGTGGACCAACGAAGCCAGGACTGCAGCCCGACGGTTCTAATCGTCTCCAGAGGCCCAATTGTGCATCACAGCCACCTCAACTAGCTTCGGGGGCACCAGGACACACACCGGATACACATTGTAACCATATGCGACATCTTTGGCCAATTGTCCATACTTCGACAATGATATCAGGGCCATGAGACGTGGATGCGGCACTCGGTGTTTATACGTTTGGACGCACACGACTGCCGCTCCCACGCCCTCGGGCTGGATATCACAAAAGCGCGATGACGCACCGACCGACGCTCCCTTCCTGCCCGAAGGGGAGCAAGGGAGCCTCAGGCGCACCGACCACATCCCCAAGAGAAGGCGCACACCCAGCCCACCCACGGAGAGCATCAGCTGACGCATGCATCATCCATCGATGACCGTGGGGGCGCACACCACAGGGTCACAGGCGAAGGGACCAGAAACGGGCGGGGAGAAGCGGATGGATACATTCAGTATTACTTCACGTACGACGACAGGACGACAGGACGAGGATGGCGGGCGAGACGAGAGGGTGGTTGCAGACGACGGTCTAGGGCTCGGGGGGGAACGATACGCGGGACGGGGGCGCGGGTCTGGGCTCACGGGCCCGATGGCGAAGAGCCGCCGACCTCTGCGTGCAGATCGAGGCGCACAGTCAGCATGCGTGCACGGTAGACGGCGAGGAGAGAGGTGCGTACGCTCGACCATAACGTCGATGGTGTCTGGGAGGGCACAGGATGGGCAGTTGAGCGTCTGCGTCGGGAAACAGGGGGCCCCTGGCACGCGCGAGAGGCGGAGACAATTGGACGCACCGTTGTCCTCCATCTCGAGCGACGACGGCGTGTCGTCGTCGCTTATCCTGTTCCCGTCGTACAAAAACCTGCGGGGGGACGACCGGGGACGCGCATCGTCAGCAATCGCGCTCCCCGTTTTCTCGCCAAAGGCGGGCGATAATAAGCGCCGACGCTGCTGAGGCGCCGGGTATCTGCTCCCAGAAGTGATCCCAAAATCGCGGGACGAGGGATGGGGACGCGTAGGAGGCGATCGCGAGGGCAGACGAAGAGAGACGCACCGAATGCTGCTCACGTCCTTGCCGACTTTGCTCGCGTATGCAGCCTGGAGCTTGCTCAGCTTCGTATTTCTCTTGATCTTGAAGAAGACCTCTTCGCCCGTCTGCGTCGCTACCTGCGCACGCGTCCCCGTCGCGTCAGCCACGATGCGTCCCCGTGCCGCACCCACGACGTCACGAGCGGAGCGCGGCGGGCCACCCGCGGGCAGCCAGAGCGGAAGAAAGAGCGGGAGGGAGAGGCACACACCTTGATGTTGATGGGCGCGTTGGCGTCCTCCATCTTGGGCCCAGCGTCCTGGGAGCCGGGCTCATGGTCAGACATCGTGCGTGGGGGTGTGTGGCGTGAGCTGGGGGACGGCGGGGGTGGTGGTGCGCGAGCAAGGAGCAGATCCAACCGCGGTCGACGCCCCTCCCGTCCTCACGCTCCCTCATGGGCGTTTAAGGCTTACGTAAGTCGTCCGCTCCAAAGCGCTCCCCGACGGCCACCTTCCGACACTCGCGGAGGGTTGATGGAGACGGCGGACCAGATTACATTGTACCGTACATTACTTCGACCAAGACGGTGACACAGACTACAGGACGTGACCGTAGAATAAACGGACGCCAGAACATGGAATAATGAGAGCATGAAACCAGGCAAGAAAACCGAAGCCAACGGGTCTACTATATGCCAAGATTGAGAGCCAGAAAGAATGGCGCGCCCCCCGCGGGCGGATGCTCCCCTCTCCTCTCCCCTTCGCTCACCGCTCCGCTTTGCGCGAGAGCCGCGAGAGTAACCGCTTCGCCGCGCTGTACTCCGCGTCCTCGTCGCTCGAGTCCTCCCACACGTCCTTCGCGTAGCTCTCCTCGATCCGCGAGCCCCACCCGTTCCCGATCGCGTTGCCGTTGCCGTTCCCGTGCGTGCTCGCCGCCGGGTTCCTCTGCGGATGCGCCTTCGCCGGCGGCGCGGGACCTGGGTTCGCGTGCCCGTTCCCGTTCCCGTTCCCAGTCCCCTTGCCCTTCGCCGACCACGGCGCGTGCCGTGCGCTCGCCTCGTCCCCGTCGTCGTCGTCGAGCGCGGGCGGCGTCGTCGAGAACGTCGGCGGGAGCGACATCCGCACGCTCTTCCGCCTCCGCGGCGGCGCCTGCTCCTGCTCCTGGCTGCCCTGGTGCATGCTCGAGGACGACGCGGCGGACCCCGGCCCGACAGTGGACTCCTCCGTCGACTGCGAGACCTCGCTCCCGTTTTGGGCGTGGCTCGATGACGACGCGACCAAGGTGTTGGTGTTGATTGGCGGCGGCAGCGGGCGCGGCGGCGAAGGCGTCGGTGACGGGATATGCTGCGCGTCATTGTCTTCCTCCGGCGGCGAGGGCGTCGGCGGCGGCGGGGTCTCGGGCGCGTCCTCAAAGTCCTCGATCCCGGTGTCGTACGACGACACCGAGACGTCGCTCTCGCGCCGCTGCATCATCGCGAGCGGCGACAGACCGTGGTGGTTCTGTGCTCGGGGTTGGGGTGAGGCCGACATGAGGACGGGCGCGATGTTGATCGTCGTCGACGCCGCGAAGGGCACCGGCGACGGAGATGCGATAAGCGCCGGCCTGATGGTCGCCGTCGAATCTCCGTTGACGAGCGCAGGACGCGTGACCTGTGGCAGCGACGCCGGGGCGGGAGACGGTGTGCGGCTCGAGTTGCGCAGGGCAGATCGGAGCGGCATCTTGGGGAGCGCCTTCTGCGAGTTCTGGCTGCCATTTGGAGTCGACAGCGGAAGGGAGGGGGCGGAGATGGACCCGGCGAGCAGGAGCGAGTTGCGGTAGTTGCCCTCCTCGCCCTGAGGCGCGTTGTTCGGCCGTTCGCGGCGTTGAGATGGCGCGGGGGCTTCGTATGGCACACTCGGTACGACGGGGACCTCAGCCCAACTGTCTCGGATGTTGACGTTCACAGGGCCAGGAGCTTTGGGTACAACCAGCAGTCGGCTCGGGTCCTGCTTGAATGCGGCTTGTTTGTTCATAGATGAGAGGCCCTCAACGATGCTCATAAGACTTGGTTCGCCGCTAGTAAGCTTGAGGGGAGAAGAGCCGGCAGATATGGACGCAGATCGTCTGTGGCCTGACGACTGTCCGGAGGCGGGGGTGGGTTTGGGGTCGTAGGATGCAGTGCGCTTGCGTGGAGACGAGTTCTGGCGGCCCAGAGCGGCATGAGGGTGAGGGACAGTGGCCATTCTCGGTGGTGCGCTCGCGGCGCTCGCGATCGACTGCTTCGAGAGCGACGAGTTGCGAGAGAGCGCAGATCCCCCCTCGACAAACACAGCGGTGATAGCAGGTGCCTTCTTCAACCGCCCCGACGCCTCTGGTGCGCGCAGAGAGCTGCCCACGGGCTTCGACGCCGACCGCTGTCTCGTCCCGCTCTTCGCGCGAGCCTTGCTGATCGAATCCGTGACGGTGTCGCTAACGTAACCCTTTTCTATGTTTGCAACCATCTGGGACTTGGGTTGCGCCTGCACGGACGAACGCTTGGATGTGCGCTTCTTCAAACGACCTAGCTCTCCGCCGGTGGGAAACGTCGGTGACGTGAGGAGTATGGGTTGCGGGGACTCGGTGTGACGCGTGAAGTAGTGGGAGGGAGGTGGACCTTCGTCGTCGGAACTGTCGTCGCCGCGTCGCCGCAGGTTGCGGTCGATGCGAGATTGCCAACGTCCAGACGCCTTGGGCGGTGTGGTGGAACCCTCCGAGTCTTTGCGCGAGTACCCGCCGACATGGAAGAGCGCGGCGAGGCCGCCGAGCATGCCGCGTTTCTTCGGGGACTCGCGGACGGAGTAGGAGGAGGGGAGGTGCGGCTCGCTGGGAGAGGTTTTGGGCGCGCGGACGGAGAAAGATATTTGCTTTTGAGGCTGGGTGTTCGAGGACGTTTGGGGAGGTCTCGCGAGCGACGTCGAACTTGATCTTGACTTGCCGTTTTGGAAGCGCGGGTTCTCGTGGACCTCAACATTGGCCTCCTCCTCTTCTTCCTCACTACTCCCCCCTGCCTCCTCCACAATGGTTTCTGGCTGTGCCAATCCGTTCGGAACGGCATACTCAGAGATAGAATGAGCGGGTGGTATTTGGAGGGTATATGGTTTCGCAGGTGTGGGAAGCGTGGGCTGTGATGGGGCGAGCCATGTTGCATCCGCGAGGGTACCCGGCGGAGATGTGATGCCAATCTGTGATGCGGACTGAGAAGGCGCTATGGAGGAAACGTCAGAGCCGGGTTTCTCGAACCCAGGGAGGGGTTTGTGGAGATATGGGTGCATTGGAGGACTTCCTGTAGGGGTGTCAGCAAAGATCAGAGTGTTTCGAGACGCGACCAAAACACGGTAAACAACATCAAGCTCACCATGCTTACGCGCGGAAGTACTCCGATGCACGCATAGCTCGACAAGAAGAGCGAAACGAACGCAGCGAGAAACATACCGGGTGCATTTGGTGACGGCGCATCCAGCGTCTCGAGCGCACGCATCCCCTCCTTGCCCATCTCGCCCCACTTCCACCCACACTCGACCATCGCTCGGCAGCGCGCCTGGAGACCAGCGCGGATGGTGTGCGCCCGGAAGGCGTGCAGCTCCTGCTCCTTCGCGGCGAGGTGTGCCTCGCAAGCTTGAAGCTCTGCTTGGGCCACGGACAGTTTATGTCCTACTTGAACTTCCGGCTTGGAAACGCTCAGGGACGAACCTGACGGCGACCCGCCCCCCAGGATGGAGTCCCGTGTTGGTTTCTGCGACTTGGACGCCTTGATGAGCCGCGTCACCCTGACAGAGCGCAAGCAAAGCGCGTATATGCGCGGAGTTACGTTGCGATAGCGAGTGGGCGAGCAAGCACCGTGATATATGCGGGGGGACGAGAAGCGCAGTGAGCAGGCTGGTCGAGCGTGGCCGAGGATGCGCCGAGCGCAGGCAGGCGAGCCGTAGGGAAGGCACAAGGTGCTTACAGAATCTCGCGGTCGCGCATGATGTTGCCGACGTCCTCCTCCATGGCCCTGAGAGCCCGAAGTTGCTCCTGCCACCTATCGACGGCGGCGGCATACCCGCGAAGCGCGTCATCGGCACCGGCGAGGGCACCTGCAACGGCGATGATGACTTGAGAGGTGGGTGGGGCGGAGGCAGAGGCATAGGCGGAGAAGGAGGCGAGAGCGGACTGGGAATAGTCGAGGAGGATGGCAAGGTGCTTCGCGTAGTCCTTCTCGTGGCTGAGGAGGTTCGTGAGCAGCCGGGAGTCCGCTGGGCGGTGAACCATGCAGGCACGGTGGGCTGCGGCGGCCGTCGGGCAAGATGGAGAGGCGAACGGAGAGCAGGCTGAGGAGGGAACGTCGCTGGTCGGGCGCAACGGATGGTAAAGAGCGCTGTTGGAGCGGCTGCACGGCAACAGGAGCTGCGGCTCATAGCACGTGCTGCAGTTACGTCACCGCGTCATGCAGCTGCGGCATCAAACCGCGGATCGATCGGCTTCGACTTGAAGCCCGGATTCAACTTCAAGGGCCAAGCAAACAGTGAATATCGTGCGGGGCGCGACCATGCCCCCTATTTACTGTGTCAACGGGCATGCACAGCCCACCAGGGAATGAAAGACATCTCGCATGCCCCGTAGACTGTCGGGCTTCGAACCTCTCGCGTCGGACATAAAATAACGTTTCGGAACCGTGTCATGGAAAAACGCTCGAGTACATCACAACCGCGCTCCGGTAAAGAAGTACTCATCCAACCATCCCGAAAACCGACCACAGAGCGTTCGCGTTTAGGAGACGGTGATGCTCGCGGAGCCGGTCGAGGAGTAGCCCTCGGTGGCGAGGATCTGGTAGTTGAACGTCCCGAGCGACATCCCGAGCTTCTTCCACGCGTTGAAGTGGTTGGCGGTCGTGACCGTGCCGCCGACGCGCTTGCTCGTCCGGACGGACCAAAACTGGGTGAACGTCTGCGTGCCCTGGATGGACGGTGCGTTGACGCGCTGCGCGGTGTAGATGTTGTACGTGCCGCCGTCGCTGTTCACTGCGTCCCGCGCCGTCAGCTCCGCGTCCGGACACAAGGAGACAAGCACACTGGGGACGCACCGGTGCCCTTGTAGGTCGCGCCCGTGCTGGGGTTGTACGTCCCGTACGACTCGACGATGTAGTACTCGATCAGGGGGCTCGTCGACCAGCCGTACACGGAGAGGTACCCGTTCCCGTTCGGCTTGAACGAGCCGCTGTAGTTGATCGTGCTGCAGCGACGTGCGTCTCGTCAGCCACCACGTCGCCAGTGACTACTAGGTGAGCTTCCGTGCACTCACCGAGCGGAGCCGGGGTTCCAGCCCTTGCCGACGACCATGTCGCCGCTACCGCCCCAGTTGACGGAGTAGGAGCCGCCGCCGCCGTTGCTGTAGCTTCCGGTGACGCCCGAGTCGGAGTAGACAGTGTAGAAGTAGCCGTTGTTGGTGCCCTGGGTGTTCCCAAGGGAGCGCTTGTCGAAGGAGACCATCGTCGCGTTGTCGAAGCTCGCGGACTCGTCGACCGTCGCCGCGGGCTCGGCGATGGGCGTCGCGAGGACACCGAGGGCGGCGGTGAGAGCGAGGATGATGCTGAAGAGACGGGCCATGGCGATGCTGGGCTGCTTCTGGCCTCTCTCCGTTTGTCGAGAGGGGTTTTATAGTCGCGAGCGACGGTCCCCGTCGCTGCCCACAACATGATGTTGGTGGATCAACGTCGGGACGGATAAACGGCTGAGCACGCACACGGGCTTCGGTACCGGGCACATGAGTGCTCCCTGCGCGCTGTGACGGTGTGGGCGAGGAGGTTGGGCCTGGTCGGGCGGGTGAAGACGATGTCATGAGGTTGGTTGTCGCCATTGATGCAAAGCGGGCGCGCGCCCGTTCGGATCCGCGTCGGGCCGTTTTACGCCCGGTTCCCATATTGTCACGGGGAGAAGAAGTACTCGTGGTCTCCGCCTTCCGACTTCGAGCTTCTCCGCTTTCTATGGACCTCGTGAACTTTGGGCAGCCCAATTGGATCCTCGACGTTACGCGCCCGTCCGTGGAGCCTGGTAAAACGTCCGGTTTTCCGTCTCCACCTCCGAGGTATGGCATGGTGAGCGTCGTGCACGTCTTCCAGATGGACGCATTAGGACGAAGGTGCAATATCATAGGACGTGAGGTGTTTCCGATATGCTGGCGAGTGGTCGGGTGAGCTTCATTCGGATTATGCCCGGGAGCTCACGCACCGAAGGCACCGGAACACGCGCGATGGAATAGAAAGTCGAATGATCTTCTGCTCTCGATGGCCCTGGGATGGTGTAAGAGGTGTCCACCATAGATTATGGCGACTGAATGGATATGTAGAAGAGATACGGAAAAGTGTGGAGAAAGAGTGGACTATGCAGAAGGAGCACAAGGAAAGGTTAAAGGATAAGAACTTGAAAGAAGCGGTGCGCTTGCCAGGCGTGCGACTCCGCGGCCACGTCGTCAAGGACTTATTTATAGTCCTATTAGTCGGAGTTATGAGTGCTGTATTTAGCTTCAGAATCATAAGAAGATAATTGAAGTCACTCCATACAACTGGCTACAACTGGCTACAACTGGCAACTCAAGGTTTCAACCCAGTTCAAACATGTTTACACAAGGCGAACCGCCGGCACAGCGGCCCGACGGCAACCACTGCCGACAGGCACCGCTTTGCATATGTTTCGCATGGCGCGACCGTCGACACGACGTTCAGGTTCCGATATCGTGCCGCGACCATAGATGCGCCCTACGAGGCTTCCGACATGTCCGCCCCGCACGACATCCCGGGGCCCTGAGGCCTGATGCGGACGGGTGACCCCAGGCCGCGCGGACCCCCTCTCTACGAGCGGTACGAGGAGGACTCAGAACGCCATCCCATCTCATCCTTTCGGTGCTGGTGGGAATCGAGCAGTTTTTCGAGGCACCCGCCCTCCTGTCCCTTGTTTTTGTTCCTCGTGCCATGTGCACACAGCCATACTTCGGAAAGGAAACATCGATCGGGGGGTGCATGCTCCGAGCTGCCCGACCCCTCACATCAAGACACGCAGCTCGATCTCGACACCCGCTGGCGGGTGTCCATTCGCGAACGTTCATGCAGATGTCTTTTGCTTGCCCGGACATCGATTGTATTATCGATATCTCGCAAACCACCAACCCGTTCGTTGACCCTCAAACAGTGCACAGGGCGAGGGCGTGCAGAAAACGTAACCAGATTTTTATTAGTGTATCAGTTGACGGAAGGATGGCGGTCCGGCCAGGGCCAGTCGGTACAAAGACGGAACAGACGACGAGCGTGCGTAGTGCACAGCCGGACCGCACGATAGGGGGGTGTCGCGTAACGTATCGTAGGTCGGTGAAGGGCGGGGAGGACGGCGGGCGGGTACACGAGGTTGTTTACAGGGCAGGCGGGTAGGAGGGACGAGGGATGGGATATCGTGAGGTCATGTACAGGGGACCCGCGGATGAAGACGATACGAGAGGGGTTGGAAGCGGCGGGAGAGATGGAAGCGGCGGAGCAGATGGGTGGTGGATACTATGCAACATTGGGAACCGGGGCTCTATGTGAATGGCTGAAGGCAGAGGAACAAGAGAATAGGTATGTATAAACACTTAAAACAACAACGCGATCGCGAGGTGAAGGTAACGAGACGGCGAATGGCATTAACGTCGCGGCGACGGCTCGCGTGGGCCACGGGGATCATCACATGTTATCCAACACATGTTATGCGTAGCTAGTTCCTGGTCCAGCCGAAAGGTCCAGCCCAACGGCGCGGCACAACGGCCAAGCCGCACACGTTGGGCGATCGAGTTATCTGAACACGAGGCGGCGCGGAGCGCGGGAACGTGGCCGAGGAGCACCACGACGACCACGATCAGACCGGGTGCCAGTCCGCGCCGTGCGTGTAGTGCTCCATCGTCGCGAACGTCCGCTGCGTGCGCCCGGACGAGCTCGTCGTGTCCTCGCGCGTCGACGGCGTCGTGATGAACGACTGCGGCGCGGTGCTGATGTCCGCCATGCTCGGCTGGTGCGGCACGCCCAGCAGCCCCGCATCCTGCGTCTGCGTCTGCGGCACGTTCGCAGATGGCGCGCCCGTGATGGGCACGCCCTCGCGTTCCGTCACTGCGCTGATCTCCGAGGGATGCTCCGAGAGCGTCGATCGCGCAGGGTGCAGTGTCTGTGGGGGCTGCGCCGTGGACTCCTCCGGCTCGACATCCGGGTTGGCGTGGGGGTCCGGTCCAGCCACACGCGTCGCGCTCTCGCCCTCGGCGATGTCCGACATGTTGTCGACGCCCTCCTCCGCGCGCCACTCCTCGCGGAGCGGGTGGCCGAAAGTGTGGTTCTCGGGGCTGGAGAGTATCGCCTCGGACGACGTGGACGCGTACGGCGAGTCCGAGAGGCGCTGGCCGAGCGAGTTCGTGCGAAGCCGGACGCGCTCGACCAGGTCGACGGACGAGCGCGAGGCTGCCCCCAGGGAGTGGATGAGCGACTGGGCGCGCGAGCGGGTGGCGGAAGAGAGCGATGTGCCGGAGTTGGTGCGCGAACGCGTGTGGGCCGAGTTGCTGCGCGAGCGTGGCTGCGAGCCGGACGACTGCGAGCGAGAGCCGTTCGCGCGGCGGTGGAGTGCAAGGGCGCTCGCGCGCTGGCGGAGGTTGGCGAGCGAGGTGCGGGGGCTCGGGGCGTTGGAAAGCAGGCCGACGCTGTCTTGGCGCTCTGCCTCTTCGCTCGAGCCGTCGCCCTCGGGAACCTCGACGAGCGACTCGTCCTGGATGTCGTGGTGCGTGTCGATGTCGTCATCGTCGTCATCGTCCCCGGACTCGAACGAGCCTATCGGGATCGGGCCGAAGGTAGTGTTTGGCTCCGTGGCTGCGCTCTCGGTGCGAGTGCGGGCGCGGGCGCGACCAGCTGGGAACGCGACGGGAGAGGGAGAGCTGGGGGACGCCGGGACGGTACCGGCCCGGGCTCTTCTTCCAGTTTGCTGAGCCTGCGGGTGGCGTGGGGGCATAGGAATGACGCTCCCGCTGAAGCTCGAGTTTACGTTCGAGCTCGCGTTCGAGCGTGGCGAGTAGTCGGTGCTCTCTTGGTTGCCAGTCGACTGGGTCGACCTCGAGTGGCGCGTCGAACGCGACTGCGTCGAGCGCGTGTTCGTCGAGCGCGGTGTCGAGCGCGATTGCGGGCTCATATGTGAAGCCGAAGACATACTTCCTCGCGGCCTGCGGAACTGGAACGGATAGCGGGAGGTGACAGGGCGGCCCAGGCTCGACATTGACCCCGAGGTTCGTCGCTCGGAGGACGGGTTCTCGCTCTCTTCCTCTTCCTCCATCTCCTCCAAATCCTCCTCGCCCTCGGCATACTCCTCACCCGTACCGCTCGTAGTTCCGCTGCGAGTGCCGCTGGTGGCGCGGCTGGCGACGGCATGCTCGGCTTCGAGATCCTTGTCGTCGATGGCAGGCGAGGGAGGGAAAGGGACGACGTCCTCGTTGGAGATTTGCGCGCCGTAGCCCGTGAAAGGATAAGGAAGCTTCATCAAAGGCCCAGACGGGTCTGCGCCCTGCTTCTCGCGCTGCTGGAGTAGCGCAGGTGTTGGGGGCACGAGGCTAGTGGAGAGGGGCTCCGGGACCGCTACACCCTTCCCCTTAACTGCGGCGGCTTCGTCGAGCTCCGGCGTCTGGCGAGGACTTGCGAACAATTCGTCCGAGAGGATGCCGCGGCGCGCTGGAGCAGGGGAAGACGGAAGGCCGACGGCGGCGAAGATGCGTTCGAGGCCGTCATACCCAACCGCAGGTTCTTGGGACTCTCGGACGGGCTTGCCCTCCTTGGCGCCGTCGCTGGCCAGGCGCACCGGTTTGTTCGTGAGGCAGAAGTCGTAGGCGTCCTTGATGCGTAAAATCGTGCACTCCTTCCACGACCAGGGGAGAGTGTCCAAGTCGGAGACGTCGTCGGTAAGCGCTGACACCGCTTTCTCGGCATCTTCCTCTTCCCATCGGTATCGCGGCCCGCAAAAACCGGCGCAGGCCTGCCCGCTAAGCAGCCAGAGTCCAATCCTGCAACACCGTCAGATCGAGGGCATCGGGGAGACAAAGACAAAAGCGTACCAGCTCGTCAAGAGGACTAGAACACGCCACGCCGTCCAGGCAGCGTTGGCAATGAGCACGCCGCGGGCAAAGTCCGTCAGCGTGCCATCAGCGCGGAAGTACGCGCCGTCTCGGCGGCTGACACCAGCATCCGCGAGCGCGACGACGACGGGATCGGGGGAGGAGAAAGCGAGGAGGAGAGCAAGGGACAGCCCGGCACGCGGCAGCAGCAACGCAACCGTCGGCAAGTTCTGGGAGTAGAAGTAGAAGGTCTCGGCAAGACCGTCCAAGACACTTCCGTGCTCGCCGAAGAAGGCGGACGCGCGGATGTGATACATGAAACAAAAATTCAGGTACGAAGTCATCGCGGCGAAGTTGAAGGCCGGAGATGAAAAGTAAATGGGGAGGATCAAGGGGCGTTCTAGAAGCGCAAACGCGTCTGAGCGCGGAGTATACGCAGGAAAGTAGGAGGTACTCACTGACTCGCCACCGGCGGACGAAGCTGTAAACGAGCTCGTAAACAACACCCACCACGAAGACCCATGCCACCCAACAAGCGATGTAGGCCGCCGCACCAAGTGCCCAGTTGCGACCAGAGCCAGGGATACCAGGACCTTCGGGATTGGGATTCTTCGCGACGCTAACGCGGGATTAGTGACGCGGCATAGATGGGTTCCCAGGAAGCACCACTCACGACAGCAAGATGAAGACCGCGTTGAAGTCGAAAAACGTTTGAAGGGGGACGTGGGCGAAGACGAAGATGGGGAAGAGATAGTACCATAGGCGCATCTGCCATGACGGATTCCGGACGAGCTCCAGGTTGAGGGTAGGAGACTTGAACCGTGGCCGAGGGAGCTGGCCCTCGCCGCCCGCCGAGGACGAGAAGAGGGTCGGGGTCAAGGCAGCGCTTGTCGCGCGCGACCAGGCACGCGCATGGCCAGCGCCGGAAAATGCGCGCGACTGCTCCGTGGGCTCCCTACGCGTGTCCTTCTCCATTTGGCTCTGAAGAGAGACGATGCGCACCGAACGTGGCGTGGGCTTCCGGCCGACCATGACGGGCTCATGGCTGGGACCCGCCTCGCTGTACATGCCAGCAACCGAGGACTGGATGGTGGAGTGGGGAACTGGGCCGGGAGGACGCTTGGGCAGCCAGGACGGATAGCCTTCGGAGGAGGAAGAGAGGCCGCGAGGAGACTGCGGGGAGGATGATTGGCCTTCGGATACAGGTGTTGGTCCGTGCGCGGTGATTCTGTCCGGGTTCGTGTTAATACCCGACGAGCTGGGCCTCGAGGCTGAATCTGGGGAGGGCGAGTCGGGAGTAGATGGCCCGTGCTGCTGCGACTGTCGTGACATGGCCGGAGAGGGCGGGGGAAAGCATGCACAGTCAAAAGATTAGCGAGACGAAAATGAAGAACGGGGGAGGACGAGGAGCGTCGGGGGCGCGTGGGGGGATATGGGGGACAGCGCGGGGCCGAAGCACTGCGAGCTGGACACGGGCTCCTGGGTGCTGCTGCTGCGGGCGCGAGGGCCTCGTGTTATGACGACGGGCAGCCTCGTGTTGAGCGAGCAGAGGGAGAGGACGCGCGAGAGAATTCGAACGCGGCGGGCGCGTCTTAGCATCAACGACTTACCGGATCCGGGCAAGGCTCGTACCCGACGGGCGGGGCCGGCTTTGCCTCCGTCGGCCACGATGGCGATGGCAAGGTTGCTACGCGATGCAAGATAGTCGACAAAAGAGCGGGGGTTGTGCAGGCGGAGACAAGGAGTGTATGGTTTGCGGTCAAGGTGCGTGTAGCGCGAGTCCTCGCTCAGTTTTCGTCGTCATGCGGACGGATGTACGTACTCACCTCGTTCTCACAATCCCTCATCCCTTTGCCTCCCGCGGCGATCCGCTGCGATTGAGCTCCGACTACCAGCTTGCTTGATGGCGAATGCATTCACGTCCCGGGCTATGAAGGCAACGTAAGTTCTCACATGTGCAATGTAGATCTTTGAAATCCCCACTCTTCGTCCACGCCCAGTGCCCACTCCAGCGCATCCCTTTGTTTGAGGTGGGCTGGAGTGAGTCGTGCGGAGTGGGGGAGGATGTGGTTGACCATATGCGCATGCCGGATGTAACTTACAAGATGCCCTCGCAGCCGCATCCTGTTGTCGGCTCGCCACTTCGCAGAGAGTTTGTGAAAAGTCGCGGGTAGTAGGCACATCATATTTCAGGAACCAGTCTCGAGGTCGACTGGACGGCGATCTTGAGAAGCCCAAACACGGTCTTTGTTGTTCTCGATGTTGACGGTGACAGCGGAGCCAGCGACTGTGCTGTAGTCAATGGCGTGAGTTCGAACGATGATTTCGCGCAGAACAGGACGCTTATAGACCATCGAAGGTACCGCTCAGCCGTGAGGGGCTGTCGAGCATGCGTTGTAGGAAGATGACGGCGCGTTTCCCGATAGGCAAGGGACGCGGGGAGGAGCGGTTGTGGTGGATGAGAGCAAGTATTGTGAGTCGCTCTACATGGCAGAAAGGGGCCGCCACTGACCCGTGATGTCAGAGTATCGCAACACGCAGGACTCCTAAACCCCGACGAGCTCGCTTTGCTTCTCCCATCTGGATCACTACATGCTTGGCGAGTGGCCTTACATCGAAGGCCAGGCGAATGGAATAACCACAATTTCTTCGTTGTTGCAGTGAGTCTCTCCCGGGAGATCGACAGGAGTTTCGCTGACGCCGTTCGCTTTGGAGACACCCTAACTCCTGTTTACTGTGGTTCTCGCAAGCATCAGATGCCCGAGGGTCCCACAGGCATTCCCCACATTACCGCAGAGGTGTGTCCTCCAATGACATTGCTCTGGTCGCTGCTAACGGCTGGCGCCTGGAAGCTCATTGCTCTCTGCGTCGAATCTCTGTTCTTTGGGGGCTTCACGGTACTCTATCTCCTCGCAGTATGGATCCTGTTTTACCGGGGAACAGCAACTAGGTCGAGACTTAACAAAGTTCTGTTTGCGACATCGACAGTGATGTGGATTCTCTCTGTCGTGGTACGTCTTTGCTCGCCGACACACTTTATGTCTGACGCCTTGCTCGAACAGCATATATGCATCGATACGCAACGCGCAACGGAAGCTTTCATCGTCCACGGGAACACGGCGGACGGCTCACTCAACTTCTATTCCGACCTCGCCTCCCCGACTCACTTCGCGAAAAACGTCATATACATTAGCATGACGCTTCTCGGAGATTCTTTCGCGACATATCGTCTCTTTGTCATCTGGAATCACAACTGGTGGATAGTCGTGTTACCCATTATTCTCATTGTAGCCACGGCAGGTTTGCACTCCTTGTTTTTTCTGCTCCAGAGCCCAACTGATGTCCGCCCCAGTCACAGGATTTGGCGCGTGTGCCATCGGATTGATAATAGCCCCGTCTGCCATATTCTCAAGCGATTTCCAGCCCTGGCTTCGCACCTTCTTCTCGCTCTCACTCGCAGTGAACCTCCTGGACACTAGTGAGCCCCCAGGTTACGACGTTTTAGCGGCCCCGCGGCTAACCATCCCGCAGTCCTCATCGCCGTTCGAGTCATCCAGACGAACCGCCAGCTCAACCTCCGTGGCACCAGCTCCGCGCGGCTCGCGCCCCTCTGGGCCGTCATCGAGACCATCGTCCAGTCCGCCGCGATCTACTCGATCGCGCTCATCGCGCTCATCTCGACGTACATCGCGGGCACGAACGCGCAGTACATCTGCCTGGACGCGCTCCAGCCGCTCATCGTGCGCCGCACCCCCTCCCGCTCCCCTCGCGGACCTCGTCACTGACGCAGCTTCGTGCGCGACGGCAGGGCGCGGTGTTCACGCTCATCATCATCCGCGTGGGGCTCGGGTGCACGCTCTCGCGCGGGAACACTGTGGGCCCGGCCACCACTGGGCTGCGCAACGGAAGCACGCGGGCTACGACGGACACGGAGCTGGCGCTCCCGACGCTGGCGCCTGATACCCCGGGACGCCCGTATCGCCGGGACAGCGTGCAGATGTACGAAGACGATGGCCAGAGAAGGGCGCGACGGTATAGCTTGGTCGACACCGCGTGACGATGGGGGGAGGGGATATCCTTGGTTTGCTGTTCATACCGCTTGTTCGCTCTGTTTTCGTGGCTTTGTGTCAACCATATGATTGGGTTGATAGCGGATTGTGCGCAGTTGCAACGCAAACCGACGCCGCATGATGCACATGCAGCTCGGGTTCGTTTGGTTTGTTCCCTAGGAAACACCGGCCACGACTGCCGCGTGCGCGACATGGGCGGGTGACTGTAGGTGTTGTCCTGGCACGACCTTTAACCGTCTGCGTTAACCACGAGAGAACTAGAATAGTTTGGGTACGCAATGATGGTTAGGGCAGAGGTGAATGTGGGCGATTATCACACTCGCAGTCAGTGTGACGGCTCAACGTTCCGCAACAAGAGCATGGCTGGGCGATTTCATGCGAGAACATGGCGATATGGACCAAACTGGGCCGTGTACAAGCTATTCCTGACTCGCCAAGCCAGCCTCCTGCTCTCCAGACGACAGTCAGTCCTCGCGTAGGAATATCACGTACTCACAGCGCGGCGCCGCGGATGATTGGGACTCCCAGTTGACGACAGTTTCAGAAAGAGGGGGAAATGGCTTATGAAAAGTGTTCATGTACATGAAATACACTCCCGCTTTCTGAGGAGTCTTCCTATGACTCCACGCCACACTTCCCCGAACCCCGAATGTCAAATGAGGTGAGCCGGGAGCCTTAGCTCGTTCTCGTCGTCGTCGTGTGGCGCCCGGCTTACCTAAATCCTGTCAGTTCCTGGCGTCCACCACCGTATGCTCGGAGTACTTCACCTCTATGTTCACCATCTCGACGTACTCCCCCAATTGTGCCGTCGCACGCGCTACCGCCCGATCCCGCCTCGAACCCTCGTCGGGCATGTCCCCCTCCAACGAAAGACATAGGGTGAGGCATGCGAGGGGCCGCGCTCCTGCGCGCTCCCTCGTGCGCAGAACACACGCCATACCACTGAACAACGACTCCAGCCCGGAGAGCGATCCATGGTGCGTAACTCCATCGAATATGATGAGGGAGAGGTTCGGCGCGGGGATCTGACTAGCGGCGTCCCCGGCAGAGGAGCCCTCTGTGGGGGCGAGGGCGTCGAAAAGTGAGTTGACCTCGACCGAACCCTTCAGGACGATGATCTCGAGGCTAGGAAAAGCGTCCAAAACAGCCTGCCAGCCTTTGAGGCTGACGGCGGTGTGGCACAGGCGGCTGCGGATGTGGAGGCTGGTGACCGACACGCCGCGGAAGAGGAGCGCCAGGTCGCAGAACGCGTTCGAGAGCGGGTACACCGGTGAGAGGTCACCTTCCGCGCTGGCAGACAGGGATGTGAAGCCGCGTTCGCGATCGCTCGGAGTGCAGAGAAGGAACTGTGAGCTGCTGCGCTTTATGTTCAGGTGCGCAGTGTCCAGGTGCCGGGAGAAGAGGGTGTCTGAGGAACTCCGGTGGGCCGGCAGGATCACATCTACCAGGCTGCTGTTGGCTTCCTCCGGGAAAAGTTCCTGCCAGGACTTGAATTTGAAGTCCACGGTTATGGGCCCAGACGTCTTCAGAAAGGCGCTTCGCGTGATGGGAGCGCACTCGTGAGCGTCGTCTCCGGTGAATGAGAATACGGTAAGGCGCGGGAGTGAGAAGGGGAATGTGTGACCAGGGGGAGGGGGGTGCTCTTCGCGCGGAACGGCTTCATCGCGACCGCGGGAGGAGATCAATAGGGTTTCAAGTTGTGGAGCGTCGGTCAGGCGGGAGACGACGTGTCTCATCGGTGACCACCCCGGGAAGCGCAGACATGATAAACTGAGTGTGGTGAGCTGTCGAAGCACGCCCGCGCCGATTGAGAATCGGACGACTCCGTGGAACGAAAGCACGCGGAGTGTTGGAAATCGCTGTGATGTGAACTTGAAAAGGTGGTCCAAATCCAACAGAGCTCGTTGAATGTCTTCTGAACCGATCCGGATGGACAGGTAAGCGAGCAGAGGCCAGGTGGTGTCGAAGAGGTGTCGAAGCGCAGGACGAGGAATCATGCTGAGTGGGAGCGTCTGTAGCGAGCGAACCCTTCTCGATTCCCGGGCGATGATTTCTACCACATCCGCTGCGGTATCTTCGTGGTCAGACGCTGTGTCGATGGATACGTCCAGATCCGCATTTGCAGAGCGGGAGAGGTGGAGGGATAGGATGTCGAATGGCATATTTGGCAGGACGTACAATGAGGACCACATGGTCGGTGAGGACATCACGAGATCGCGCCACTCTCGACACACGAGCATGACCGTGGTCCGCCAGTCGACGTGTTTTGCACTCTCGGAGGGAGACGGGATGAACAAGATGGCAAAGATACGGACAAGGAGTTCACGTGGCAGGCGATTGATAGAGATAGGGGGGTAGATGGACGAGAGATGTCGAGGTCGCTCTTTCGCCTGGAGGTTGTGTGATTCTGCGCCATCGTCTACAGTCGGTGTGCGGCTGGTCGTTGGGGGATGGACTGGTTGTTGTGGGTGGGACATGGATGATTGTAGCTCTGTATGAGGGCTTCGAAACAAGCCTGAAGAGTGGGTGCGACCAGGTGCGAGCAGACGGAAAGACTGGCTGGACGGTCCTGGGTCTTAGTCTGGACGCTGGGGGAGAGTGATCGAGCGGGCGACGACGCGGAGCTGCAGCAGTCCTTCGGACGGGCCGGCCCGCTGCGTCTCCTCGTTTCTCCCACTACCACTTCCTCGTACATCCTCTGTCTGCCGCTCAATCGTGAAGCGGCCGTCCACTCGGCAGTGCACTCGATGTCGCGCTCTGCAGCGTGATCTGGGTCCTGGGTGTCGCGGCGGGGGCATGAGCTGACCGGCATCCGCATCGTGGTGGGAGCTTGAGTGGCAGCTTTGGGAGGGATGGCCCAGGGCCAGGTGGGCCGCAGGCCTAGTGACCAGTCTGTCGATCGTGTCAATCAGGCTGGGCTGCGCGCACGTCTTCAAACGGATGGCTTCCGCACCTCTTCCTCCGCACTACTACTACCACCCGTCACCTCAGACGCTCCCACAGACATATCTTCCAGTGGTCAACCCCCCTTCTCCCGCCAGCCACACAGGATGACGACTACCCGCTCAGACAATCGTCCTTCGTGCACGGTACAGGACAACCACCTCGAGCGCATCATCGAGACGGAGGATGGACCGGCTATGGAGAAGATGGGGCAAGCATCGTTGCATACCACCCTCGAGGACACGCGACGACACATCAACCATCTGCCCTCCGAACTCCTCGTCTACATCTTCGCCGCCTGCTTCCAACTCACCCGCCCCAGTCAGGAACATGCAGAACGGGTCCATAGACGGCGCAAGGTTCTTCTTGTCTGTCGCTCCTGGCGCGATCTCATCCAGACCACCCCATCCCTCTGGTCCTTCATTTCACCCCACACCCCTCGGCGACTGTATAACTTCCTCATGTCGCGCGCAGCCGACGCGAGCGTGGACCTCTGTTTCAAACGCAAGGGCCTGTTGTCTCCTCCCCTATCACCCGACCTCGCTCCCATCGACTTGCCATAAACCGCCGGTTACATAGATGACCTGGGGCAAGGAAGGATTGTCGGTGACGCCGACAGCGAGGCCTCTCCCTGGACGGAGGATGCTGGCATGGCCCTCGGGACCGTGTCTCAGAGGACGCACAGTCTGACTTTGCCGGAAAGTCCGTATGGCGAAGTCCTTCAATATTCGTTGCCGTTCTTCCAAGCCCTGTTCCGCGACAGATCCTGGCCCATTCTCACGGAGTTGGTTGTCGGTTTCAACAGGTTAGAAGAGTCTCCTTCGGTCATCACCGGGATTCTCTCCCTCACAAAGGCGCGCTTTCCCAAACTTCAACGCCTCACCCTCAACATTGTCCTCCCCATCGAATCGACGCTATTTCCTCAGCTCACAAAGCTCGACCTCACAGGTCCTACGATAGAATGGCCTTCTCGGGAAGGATTCCTCGCCTGCCTCTCTCGCTCTTCCCGGCTCGAAGAGCTGTCTATCGACCGAATGGGCGGCCCGATATTAGTCGTGCCACACACACCAGCATCGACACTCCAACTCCCTTTGACGCTTCCCCGTCTGCGTTCGTTGCACCTTGGTTCCGCCAGTCACGGCGAAATGGCGCTACTCCTTCAAGCCATCCCTCTCGTTCCTGCCGACGTTGGTGTGAACAGCCTCAACACCCGAGATTGGCGCCAACCTGACGCTCCTGCAAACACCCACCCCGAGCTCAGTCTCAGCATCGTCGACGCTTTCTTCCCCGATCGCCAGGAGACGATGCCAATCCCCTTCCCCCGCTCTGTACGGTGTCTCAGTGTCCATGCGAACGCCTTTTGGGCAGGGATCACCGGCCATCCCCACTCCGTCCGAGGAGAGTCGACCGTCTCGTTCAAATTGCACGCCTCGCGGGGCACCGAGCCGAGCCGGTACAACCTATCGCACGGCATCGACGACATCCTCACCCTCTTCCGCGACGTCCCCTTGACCCAAATCAACCTCGTCACCGACTGCAGCTACCGCGCCGACGGCCGGTGGGACGAGCTCTTCGCCGCGTTTCCGACGCTCGAAGACCTCTGGCTCTCCGCCGTGCCCGAAGGCGACCCCCTCGCCCTCTTCCGTGCGCTCACCCCACGAGGCGAACATCGCAGCCCCTGTCCCGCTCTCTGTCGGCTGAGCTTCAGCGGTATGCCTGGGCAGGTGACGCCGATCTTCGAGGCGGCGATCGAGTGTCTCGAGGCACGAGCAGGGCGCGGCATGCAGCCGCTACAGGAGCTCGTGCTGCGGGTGGACGCACCGAAGCCCCATCAGGAGTTCGAGCCGTATCTCGAGCGGCTGAGGGCGCTTGTCGCAGGGAACGTCGGTCTCGAGGACATTGAGGCGTGAGTGGATGGTGCTGCATCCTGTGGCATCGACGGCAGCGATGTGGGACGGAGATCCAGGTTAGCTTCGGGAGCGTCGTCGTCGGCCGCGTCGGCCCCGGGTATGAGCTTCTCTTCGAAGGTGCGTGACGCTCAGATCTCGCTCGCCGTCGCGTGTGAGGTTGACGACTTTCTTTTGATTTTCGTGCAGGGTCCCGTTTCGATCGCTTAAATGGCGTCGAAACGATGCCTGTTGTGGTGCTGCTGGCTTGGATGGACTTTTGACTGGGGACGCTGTAGAGCGTGCTCGACATGGTAGCTGGCGGAGTAGGCTTGTGTAATGCGGGCGGCCTGGGCGCATCGACCGTCTCCGCGTTAATCCCTTCCCTTCACGTTATGTTCACAGAAGTCTCCTTTGAATGTCTCGGCCGGCTAGGACGTTTTTCTGCGTTCTTGTGCTTCATCTGTATCATATTCTCGTGCCACGAAACATACACACCGTCGAGTTTGAATGAAGCGTCGTCGGCGTGCTCTGCGGCTCCCCAACCGATCTCCCGCAACGAGATGGCCTGGTGTGCGTGCTCCACTTTGAAAGCGGCTTCCAGGCGATTAGTGTGTCTTCGAAATCAAGATCTTCATTCTGCTGGGTGCACAGCCGAGAAAGGCTGGCCTTGAAGTCCGAGCTTGGCCGGGGAAGCGGACGGGGAGGGATCGTTCGCTGCACGATGGCACTGGCAGTGACTCTACTGTGGGGTGTTCGGAGCCAGCGATTCTCCGGGCTAATACGTCTTGACCCTCGATTATTGAGGAATGTTGCTTGCATACGACACAGCGATCCCTGCCCTTCTGCAGATGCCGCTGGGACAGTACCGTGGTGGGGGAACTACCACCCCCGGAGTGAGGGGCATTGTGGCTCTTAGCGTGCGTAAACAATCAGGGCCGGGCCGATGATCACTCGAATCAACAGACATGCGAAGAGGAATATAGCCTTGTTCATGATCTCAAGAGTCAACATCAGACGGATCGCTCACTGGCCCAAGATGGGCGGGTCGACCGTGGCCCGCTTGGCGGAATCCAAGACCTCGGGCTGTGCAGATGATCGCCTCTCCTCACATGGTGCATGCAAGGATCCGCTCAGAAACAGTCACGGAACCGGCGTTATGGAGACATATCCGACAAACCGACTGCAGTACGCGCGCCTAATGGAGTACCCCAAGTGATTAGTCAGCTGCCCCGGCGCCCCTCCCGCAGCGCCTTACGCCGCGCTTGCCTCAGCACCACCAGCAGCGTCACCTCCTCCCGCGCCCAATCTCCGTCCGATGCAGGTCCGACACTGCTTGCTAGAGATGAAGAGACTTGGAGGGAGCAAGCGCTAGACCACATGTGCGCAGCTCTCTGTTTGCCGACATGCGCCGGTACTTACTACTTGCCCCTTCATTTGCAAGCAAGGCACTGGTTGGTTCGGATTTTCTCCTGACTATTTTACCACCAGCGAATGTCTTCATTATGCACTCGTACTGCGACTTGGATGAGTCCATCCGCCTGGCGTCGGCGACACCAAAACATCGATTGAAGCATTGGCGCGAAAGCCAAGAATTAGAGAGCAATGACTTCACGTAGCAGTACGCCGATCGCAGGTTTTTCTTTGACCGAGCGCGCTGAAACAGGGTTTTCTCAATCAGGAAGTCTTGGGCTCGATCAATACACCGGGTCAGCCTCCGAGGCATTTCAGGAGTTGCGGATGTATGACCTCCGCCTCCTCGTTTCTCTCACTCTCCCGCATAAAAGCGGTCGCGTCTGGCCTCCACTCCCTTCATCACCCACCCCTCATTCATCATGCATCCCACTTCTTTCGACGAGAAGTTCAACGCCTTCCCCTCTGCACCCCTCCCGTCAGCCTCGCTCTCGCTCGCCACCGCACCCCAGTCTTCTTCAAGCTACTCCTCGATCACCAGCGCTGATCTCGACCTCGACACCTGGTACTCGGACCAAGAGGTCGCTTCCATGCCCCAGTCGCCACAGTATCCTGCTGGCGTCGTTGCGGGGCAGCAGCAATACCTCACTGCGCAATGCTTCCTGCCCGGTCTCGCCACTTCGCCACACCCATACGATCCCGTAGCGCAGACCCCTCGCTCTTTCATCTCTCCTTCCTCGTCGCATACGGCCACGGCACACCCGTGGCCAACGATGCCCTCATACACCCACAACCCCTTCGCTGGAAGCTCGAGTACCACCATCGAACCTACGCACCCCTCGATGCAGCAACAGGCCGCCTCGGGATCCTCGCTGAACAACCGGACTCATCTGGGTGTGTTCCACGCTGGCACGGGCCCCTCCACGGCTCTGAGCGGGCGCCGAGAGCGTATCGCGCGCGCGTGCAACAAGTGCAGGTTCAGGAAAATCAGGGTGCGCATGGCCATCACTTCCCCTTCGCATCTCCCTCCCTGACGGCGAGCGCTTCTCTCTCTTTTCAGTGCACCGGAGGTCGTGAGTGCGACTATTGCGAGGTCCGCGGACTTGACTGCATCTACGAAGCACCCCGGCCGCGCGGCCCGAACAAGGCGAATCGCGGTGCCCACAGCGCCCGCAGGCACCACCACAAAGCCCGCCCCCCGCCATCCGCCAGGTCCGATTCGAGGAGCAGCGACGGGACGTCCGCAGGGAGCTTCTCCTGTAGTCCCCCGCAGGGCGAGCCCACCTCCCTCACGTGGAGTCAGCCGCCGTCGCCCGCGCGCTCCTCTCAGTCGCCGGCCGCGATGCCGCCGCCGTTCGCAGTGGATTTCCAAGCACACTCGGGCCCGTCTTCGTCGGGCGGCACCCCCGCGCCTTCCCCGCCGTCGTTCGACCCGTCGGGGCTCGTCCTCGACCAGGCCGCGCGCCGTCGCGCTGCCACGTTTGCCGCGCTTCAGAGCGCACCGCGTCCGGCCTCAAACGTCGGTCATTCCGCCCCCACGCTCCCGGCGCACGACTTCTACCCCGCACACTCCCTGGACGAAGTGCACTCGGCGTACATGCAGGCCAACATGCGCAACTGCGCCTCCTTCGCGATGATCCCGGGCGAGATCACCGAGAGCTACGCGTTTATGCCTGCCAACGCAGACCCGTACGCCCACGCCGCGCCTCCACACGAATACGCCCAGGCGGCCGCTCAGTATGCCATGGCTCAAACGTAAGTGGCTCGCTCCATTCGCAGTCCTCGACCACTCGCGTCTCGCCGCCCGCACTTGCCAACGAGGCTGACACGCTCCGCACAGGCCGGCGCACTATCCCACCGACCCGTCCACTGCGTCGTACCTTCAGGCGCAGGTCCCGTCGCACATGCCCACGCCCGTCTCCGTGCCCGTATCCATGCACACGTCGTCCTCCGGCTCTCACTTCCAGCTCAGCGCGCTCACAGGCTCCCGCTCCCACTCGCACGAGCACCCGGCACAGCTCGCCCAGAGCGGCGTCTACGACGGCGCGGTCCAGGAGCAGGCCGAAACGTCGGAGTTCCAGCCGTACATGCCTGCGTTCGCACCGGGGCCGTATCAGCACGCGTCGTCGTCGTCGTTCTCGGACCTCCCGCCGCCGCGGGCGATATCGACCGCGCCCTGGCCGAGCTCATTCTTCGAGGACGGGCGCGACCGGTCGGATGTGGTCGTCTCCTCGAGCTCGAGCTTGGTGCCTGGGGATGCGCATTGGGCTCTCGACATGGGCCCGTCTCAGTTCGCGATGGGGTCCGAGATGGGCGCGTACGCGCCGGAGCCGTCGATGTCGGTGTAGATGTTCACGGGCGTCGACATGCTTTAGAGCATAGGCACGGCACGCCGCGCCGCACCACGCGTGCTTTCCACCTTCCATCCCTTCGACCCCAGTGCTGTATGGACGCTTCAAGTCGTGCGCTATATCGTTAGATCCCTATTCCCCCACCCACTCCGCTATGTTACCCCCTCCGCTATGTCGCCCTTTTTCTGGTAGTCTGGTGCGATTTCAGGTCCCTTTCTTGTGTTCTCTGGTTCGTGAGTCCTCATCTCATCCAGTATCGTTATCCCTTTCGCTTTCCACACTCCCCTCCCACGCCTCCCACCGCACTGTATCTCTATGTAGCTGTATCTCCCCCAGGGTTATCGCAGTGTTCGTATTCCGGAATAGCACAGTCGTACGCAAAGACCATAGTGATCGCGCCGCCTCCCCGAGCGTCAACGTATCTGTCAAAAGGTTGGCAACAGGAGTCTCCGCGGCTCCTTGGAGGCCGTCTTTCGCGGAGGGGAGTCCGCGGCCCCCCGGTGTGCTGATGGGTGTCTGCTCCGCTTCGGTCTCGATCGAGCTTCGCTCCGCGATCTAAGCATTTGAGCCTCCGATCGCGATTAATTGTGAGGCGAGAGCTGGGAGGTTGTGCGCCGAATGGAAGCGTGCACAGTGAGTGGATGATGACGTGTGTTCAGAGGGGGCGCCGATGGGCGGAAAGAGAATGGAAGACTCGACACAGATGGACGTCCAAACGTTCATGCCCGTGGCGAGGACTTCATTGATTTCACAGTTATCCAAGCAGTGAACGGGCGACTATGCGGATCCATTCTACAGTCCTAGAGCCTCGCAGATGTCGGGGAGCCGCAGCAGTGGTGGCGGGATATGCCGTGCCCGCCTTTAATCAGAGACTCGGTCTGCATGACGTAGGGTCACGCTGGTCAGATGGTTCAGTGCCGCTGAAGACGATCGAAACATTGGCGGCTGCTCTGGCCCGGTATAGCATGAGTTATATTGCAAAAGAATACACACCCAGAACCGCTTTCGGTCCTTATTCACATTGTGGTAATCGATATCTGTTTCAAAAGCATTCATACACATTGCGTCTACCACTTCTCATGAGCCGAGCGAACTGCGATGCACAGTCAGCACGATCCCAAAATTGTGTGCTTTTAACTCACCATCGAGCTCCCATGTCCAGGCTGAGCGATCCTGGTTGGTCAAGTACCAATAGGCCTGTGGGTGATGTCAGCGGGGATGTTTCTCAAAAACACGCGACACGACGAGCATACATCAGCAATGCTAGCTGCGCTCAAGCGTATGTCAGCGTTGGTTCCCCAGTCCTTGGTGAACTCCTTGGGCAAGCGCTCCAGCTGGAGGTCGGTCATGATCGCTGAGGTGCCGTCGTTAGCCCCCTTGCACACACAAAAAATGATTGAAGAACAACTTACGACCGTCGCAGACAACCTTGAACATCAGGGAACGTCATCGTCAGCGAACCGTCGAGCATCCAATCCCGAACACACGCACATGCGCAACCTAGAGATCGGCGCCCATCAGCTTCAGCCCGTACGTTGTGCCCGCGCGTACGCGACTCACATGAATGTTCTCCTTCCCGAACTCCTTGTTCAGGCTCTGGCTCAAGCTCCGCAGCGCGAACTTGCCCGCGCTGAACGCCGCCGTCGTCGTGTTCCCGCGCAGGCTGCCCGTCGCGCCCGTGAAGAGCAGCGTGCCGCGCTTGCCGCGCGCATCGAGCGCGTTCGTGCGGAACGCCTCGATCGACGCACGGGCGAACGCGAACGCGGCGTGCACGTTCACCTCCGCCAGGTCGTGCAGCTGCGCAGCGGTGACGTCCATGAGGCCTTTGCGCGGTCCGGCGTACCCGGCGTTGTGCAGCGCGACGCGCAGCTCCGACGGTCCGCCCGACGGCCAGGCGTATGTGAGGATGAGGGCGAAGGCCGCGAGGACGTCCTCGAAGCCGTAAGACGCGGCAGGGAACGCGGCCGCCTGGGAACGCGAGGGCGTGAGGTCGGTGGGGAGTGGATGGAGTTGAAGCGCACCTCTCCGCCGCTCGCATTGAGCTCGTTGGCAAACTTCTGGAGGCGTTCCGGGTCGCGGCCCATGAGCGCTACACGGTAACCTTGTTTTGCGAAGAGACGGCTGCTCAGAAGTGATATGTCAAATGTCTACACAAAAGTAAGCGTGTCAATAGCCAGAAAAACACGCACGCTGTAGCCCCACCGGTTCCTGTACAGGAATGACTGAGTCTTCTTCAATATGCAGAACAAGACGTTGACTTACCTTGACCATTTCCAACACCAAGAACGACGAACAATGGCTTGGGGTCTGACATTGAGGTGTTGTACGACGAGATGCTGCGACTTGCCTTCAAAGCCCTATCATTCTCGCACTTTATATCTCTGTCACTGTGTGTAGAGTTCCCAATTCGCGTGAGATCTCGGGGTCGGCCTTTGTCAGACCGCGGGCACAACTCCGAGATGAAATGACGAAGTCATGAGCATCGGAAGACCGATACCCGGGCTTCCCTGACACCGTCTGAAATTGCCAGGCAAGAACGATGTAATTACAGTGCGAGAAGTTGGGGGGTTCGTCATGTGATGCGAGCTGGTCCTGAATAATGCGTAATATCTGTGACAAGTATGGTGCAACAAGCTCTAGCAGTCCTGAGATATGAAGGTGAGCGCGTGTGTATCGTAACAAAATCAATGCAGCCACTCCTACAACTGTGATCCGTCGTCCGGGATTAAACAACAATAAACATCCACTTCTTTACACTTTCCTTTCATGATGACGCTTGAAAAACCGAGGAAAAGACAGGGGGCAGCTGATCGTTACAATCTACTCCGTGTGGGCGTTAAAGGGAGCAGCGTTCACAGCACACTCGGGAGCTCCCTATAATCGCTGGGTATCGACACGTTGTCTAGCGGGCGCGACCATTTATCTGCAAGAAGGCCGCGGTCAGTGACAACAGTTGATGTACGCGCCATAAGTTACACACCTGGACACGCGAGGAAGTAATCATCCATCGAGGTAACAAAACGGTCTTGATACTCGTTTGGAGGTACGACGGTGACCTCCTTCCCAGAGTTGAGACCTTGCTTCGCCTTGTACTCGAGAGTCTTGGCGAAGGTGTAACTCCCTGCACAATGTGAGCATCGTCTATCTAGGTAAGTGGCAAGGTCAAAAACGTACCAATAGTGTCAACAAGGCCGCAAACTATGTCCTTGTTCTCCTCGTCGATGCCGAGCAAGAGGCTGTAGTCCATGATGTTGCTCTTCGCGAGGAACTCGCAGTCCGCCTTGATGGCTTCTTGCAGGACGACTTTGGAATGAGCTTGCACGAGCGTCAGAGCACGTTGTTGTCCTGTGCCACACGGTCAAGTAAGCACCCGTCCGGCGACATGACATTGAAAACGCGTACCTTCGATCCATTCGCCGTCGAAGAGTGTCTTGGTGTTCACGCCGGCGCTAGCTTTGACCTTCCGACCCTGGATGCCCTTGAGGTCGAACGTCTTGGAGATCTTCTTGTCATAGAACAAGTTCTCCATGACGAGCAAGTCCGCCTTCGACTGCGTGGTGCCAGTCTCGAGGTTGCGGATTTCGACGGTATAGAACCCAAGCAGCTTTGCGAGCACGGTCGGGCGAGTGGCAGTCGTATCGATGTACTTGAAGTACGACGGTCCAAGATCGATCAAGACTTGACTAAAAGCGAGCAAGAGTCAGTGGAAATTATCTACGCGCAGAGTTCCCGCACTCACAGATCCGCGACATTCCACGCATTGACGAGGGTCTTGATGATGAACCGGTTGTCCGTCGTCTTCCAGAAGTTCGACTTGCTCTTCCCGCCCTCTGCGGCCCAGTTCTCGCTCCGCGCCATGCTCTGCATAAACACGTCCTCGACCCCGCACCGCCGCCGGAGCTGGTCGAACTGGCGTGCGTAGTACACCGTGCAGCTGAACCGGAGCCGTTTCCCGATCGTCCAGTCGTACTTGATGTGCGGCCGCTCATCGACCGTTGGCGCGTCTGTCGCGACGGAGAGCAGCGCGTGGTGCTGCGGCCCTACGCCGGGCCGCACGCCGTCGCCGCGCTTGAGCACGTATCCGACGGCACTGGAGAGCGAGCTGAACCCGGTCGAGAACATGCTTGTCGTCTTCACGGGCGTTGGCGGCGGCTGCGACTCGGTACTGCCATGGGTGCTGCTGCTCTCCACATCGGCGCCGCCTTCCTTCGGCGGCACTGGCGGAGGCGGCGTGGTGGAGCGGCTCACGTTCTCCTGGACGGTCGAGCCATCACTGCCGAGGATCGACGACGCTTTCGGCCGATGAATGTGCGCCTCGAACGCACCGACCGAGGGGAGCGACGAGCGGGATGAGTTCGCCTTCGCGACGGCCTCGAGATCGTGCAAAATCTTGCCCGCCGCCTCCGCGGGCTCCGGCATGCCACTGACGTGCCCACCAGCAGCTGCGGTCGAGATTTCGACGGCAGCCTTCGCGCGCACGGAGCCCCGCGGAGTCTCCGTACCGGCCAAGCGAGCGCCTGCGAGTCCAGCTGGGGTGAGGAGCATCGACGGCGAGCCGGAGTCCAAGGAGCCAGCCTTCTGGCGCAGCACGTCTCGCAAAGAAGCAAGGGACACCGGGTCGCGCGGGTGCTCCTTCCGGCTGATGACAGCGGAGTAGGTTTCGGGCTCGTGCCAGCCTGCATCATCGTGGTCGGGATCCGGTTGGATCGGTGCGGACTCCCCGGACATGAGGCGTCTGAACGACTCGCTGGCCCGGAAGAACGAGGGGCGGGCACCCGCGGCGGGGGTCGAGGGAAGGCCAGACGGAGCGGGGCTGCGGATACTACCGGCCGTCATGGCCGCGAGTTCTCGCTGGTAGTCGCTGGTGCTGTAGTAAGGCTGTAAGAGGCACGGCAATTTGAGAAAAAGCGCATACACCCACCTCAGAGTGAAAGCGATGATGCTGCCCCAGTCGTTCTCGCGCACAATAACGCTCCCGCCAGGCACTGCGTGGCACCCACTCTCCCACCACTCCGGCTCTGGTGCAAAGGGGACGTCGGTAGAGACCGGCTCGTTCAAGTGCTTCTTCTCCCAAGCATCGAGTCGCCGAGTTGCCCCCTTCGCAGCTGTGAGGAACAAGCGGCGTACTTCGTTCAAGTTCCGCTCAGATGTGTGCGAGAGCTCGGCGTAGAGGTCTTGCTCAGCTTGCTGGAACTTGAAACGCAAGCTCGAGAGGAGCTCCAACGAGTCTCCGTCTTCGTTCGTCTTTGTGGACGCGGTGTCAGTGACGCTGCACGCGTCCAGCGCCGACGAGGCACCGGCTCCGGGTGTGGCGGTAGGTGTTGTTGACGATAACACAGAGCTATGGGTGGTGGTATTGAAAGGAAAGGCAGAGCCATCGGGTGTTGCCTTCGGGGTCGATGGAGTCGACGGCGGAGGTAGTGGGTGTGAGTTCCCAACAGGCGTCGATACTGTGTCCTCTTCGTACATGTCTTCGGACGGTAATCGAGGCAAGGATTTGTGGAATGCGCTTGGATGATCCGTTATGAACTTGTCCTCCTGCATCGCTGTTGAATGGACGCCGCAAGGGTGACGAAGAATGACGTACTAGCTGGTCCATACGCTCTGCGATCCCCTGCCACCACTTCATGATCTCCCGACGCAATGCACGATGCGAATCTCCAGGAGCACCAGCACCCTTGTGTTCGGCCGCAGGGTCAGACGACTTCTTCTCTTTGCGCCTGAGGATCTGCAATCGTGGTACGCGGACCTCCAGGACGTCCTTGACCTCCGAAAGCGTATATGTCACCGTGTAACCCTTGTATGAAAACCGTCTGATGATGTTGAAACGCTGTGGCGGCATCGGCAAATCGGTCTCGCGCCACGGCTTCTTGGAGAGCATCGTGTGTTCGCAGAGGGCAGGATCAAGGGAGTGGACGGCGGGCGAGTAGATGAGGAGCTCGAGGTACTTCGCAAACGAGAGCATGCTAAGAGAACGCCCCATCAACATCATTCAACGCAAACGGAGTCGAGCGGTACGTACAAGGAGCCATCGTGCATGACCTGCTTCGGAGACTCCTTTCCGCAGACCGCGCAGGTGTGCCACATGCGCACCTTCTCGTCTGACGTTGCCGCTTCCGAGGACAAAGGTGGGCTCAGCGTCGCGATGAGTCGTACTCCAGCATGGATCCACCGCATATCGTGCTCCGCCCGTGTGAAGTGGCAGTCTGGGTGTATGCAGGGGTCGTCCGCCGTCGTGCACCATCGGATGATCTTCTCGCCGATCGACTCGTCCCAATGTCTCCCGCGACGGTAGTACCGGAAGTGCAACCAGGTCCGCCGATGAGCGGCGCAGGCGACTCGGAGAGGAAAGTGCGTCTCCGCGGAGGAAGTGTCGGTGTCGGTCTTGCTTGGAGTAGGTGGAGGGGAGAGGAGGGAATTCGCGAGGCTGGGGACGTGCTCGGAATAGAGAATGGTGAGGCCTTGGTGCCGCACGAAGCCATCCACGCCGACCATGCCCCTGCCCGACGATTCTCGTCCGTGCCAACCCAACAAACTCGTCACCGCTGCCCGCTCGTCTCCAACTAACCGACGAGTGGGGTCCTTTGTTTCTTGATTGGCGATGGCCTGCAGGAACCTGGGTGGAGGGAAGGCGACGCCTGGTGATGTAGACATGAGGTCCTTCCATGAATCGACGCGGCGAACGGTGATAGCGTAGGGTGGAACGCTCTGAACCTCGGAAGAGTCTTGATGCGCTTGTGAGGATACGGATGACAGAAGGGATAGTCTCCGAGCAAGGAAGCCGCCCTCGGGGCCATGAGGGAGGGAGGTATGTCGCGGGAATCGTTGACCAAGCGCCGCGTCCACCGAACCTCGACGACCGATGGGCGAGGACGCCTTATGTAACATCTCCTCGGTCTTCTTGGAAAGGAATGACCACAGGCCTGAACCCGAATCGCGCTTGTGCTTATCCCGGATGTCCGAGGTTGGCGTCCGCTCTGCGGTGGTCGGGAAAGAAGGGAGGTGCGGCATGGTAGGTTTGGGATAATGCATCTCGACCCTTGAGTTGGAGAACAGGGCTTGCTCAAGGAGGAGGGAGAGGTATGCATAGACGGTGACGCGAAGAATTCTGGTGAGCGCGATGTACTGCGAGAAGGATGGGACACCTTTGAGTACGAAAGTGCCGCCGACAATTTGAAGAGGGTCGTCGGTAGATAATAGACACGCTGAGAAGAACATTTGTTAGTCGTTGGACGAACGACATTTCGCAGTGGATATGTGCGCATATATTCGGGATATTTGGCTGTCGAATGCGCAATCAAGACACAGGAACACTCACCATCCCATTCATCCAATCCATACAGCACCACTGGTTCCGTATCATCCACACTAATCACCGTCCGCGGAAGCCAAAACTCGTCGACACGGAAGGAACAGTTTGGTGATGCACGTACGAGCCTGAACCCCATGTCCTCCGTAGGCTCCGATGGCGGTGGCCCCGACACGGAGAGCAGGAGGTGCTTCAGGCCTGGTCTTGGAGTCGGCGGCGGGGGTTTCGAGGCGATCTCCCGCAACTTATCCAGCGCGGCGTTGCGCTCCTCCTCCGTGGGTTCCTCCTCGTCCTCATCCTGCTCCTCGACGACGAGCTCCTTCAGCCGGCTCGGCCGACCCCGAGTGGTCTTGTTCCGGGCGCGCTCCTCCTCTTCCTTCTCCTTCCGCACCTGCTCCTCTATCCGCCGTTTCTCCTCCTCCTCGTGGTGTTTCCTCCGCACCCCGCGCGCGTGGCGGAGCCCCGCAAGCCAGCCCCCTCGTGCGAGCCCGCGCCCGAGCTCATCGAGCGAGGCCTCTATCCGCTCTGCCCAACCGTCCCGGTCCCGTATGTCGCTCTCGTCTTCGACGACGCGCGTCACGAAACGGTGTATGTGTGCCCGTGCCTCGATGGTAAGGGTGAGATCTTGCGACGGCCGCCGCGCGCGGGCTGGGGTGGTGGACGCAGAGGCCGGTGGTGGCGGTGGGAGGTTGGGGAGCGGCTTCTCCATCACGAGCCGGGCGAGGACGGTGCGCGAGAGCGCGAAGAAGACGGTGGGGAAGAGGAAGATGGGGACGACGAGGGCGGCGGCGAGGCAGTTGCGGAGGAAACGGAGGGGGAACGTCATGCTTCCCTTTTGGGGGGCTGCGGGGAGGGGGCACGCTCGCGTCGGAACATAAGTACCCATCGTCCTCGGCGACCCCCGTGGCCGCCACGCCCGTCGCGCGTTTCTGGACATCCCCGGGCGAGGCCGTCGTCCGGGCCGTGCTCGCTGATCTCGCACGCAAATATGTTCTGGGGAGTACAAGGGTACGGGAACACGGTTCTACATACGCACAACGGTACAGATGCTATGCTACAGACACCAGTTACATCTCCCCACATTCTGCAAGGATGTTAGCGCAGACACCCAATTCGAGACGCGGCGAGACGTACCGACGATCTTCACTGTGAGCTTGGGCCGATTGTTGGGCCCTGTGGCAACGTTCTCGATCTTGCGGAGCGTGAGCATCCCGTCTATCACACGACCGAACACGACGTGCTTTCCGTCGAGGAAGTCGCACTTTGCGGTCGTGATGAAGAACTGGCACCCGTTCGTGTTGGGCCCTGAGTTCGCCTGCCGCGATATGGTCAGGGTCAGTGGCTCGGCATGCTGCGCGAAATAGCGTACCATGGAGAGCAGCCCTGGTCCCGTGTGCTTCTCCTTGAAGTTCTCATCCTAATGATGCATATGTCAGCGGAAATGATGGGACCATGACGTCAGAAGATACGGCTTACAGGGAACTTGTCGCCGTAGATGGAAAACGAGCCGGTTCCGTCGTGCTTTAGAAAATCGCCACCTGGAGCAGAAGCTGAGACCAACCCAGAGCTATGTGAACAGGGAGCCACCGACCTTGGCACATGAAGTTCGGGACTCTGACGGATCATCAGATACTTGTGAAGACGCTCATATGCGCGAAGTTACTCACACTCTATATCAAATGCCTCTCAGCAAGCATGAGCAAACGAACGAGTATGCGTGCCTTCGACACTCACCGGTGGAAGGTCGCGCCCTTGTAGCCCTGCGCGCGCGCATTCACTCTGTATTCACCTGTACAAAGTTGGCGGAAGTTCTCCGCGGTCCTAAAGGCAAAAGGTGATCAACGACCGCCAGAAGCTCGTTGATGTCTATAGCATTGCATGCTTGATAGCATACGTGATTGAACTCGGATTATGCAAGTAGTGGTTTCCTACAGAGTATGGACTTTGGACTTACTTGGGGACAATATCGCTGAAGAGCTCCAATTTAAGACGGCCCGCAGGAGTTTCGCCGATGTTGATATCCATGAAGACAATCGGACGGGTCGTGTTGGCCGTACTTGCGGACATTTTGGCGGATTTGACGAAGGAGAGATGGCGGTTGTAATCAAGAAGTTATAGAACGGCCTGGAAGGCGCGCTGCGGTGCGGGGATGCGAACAAATAGTGACAAACAGAACCCGGACATACCGACGCCTCGGGCCGGTCCGCACATTCCCTTCGACCCCCACTCACCGCCCTCCGCCCGTGAGCTCATTGTTCGATGTCTTACTTCCTACCCCACCTCCCCTCTGGCTGGCATGTTGACGAAGCAATCAAATCCGAGGAGGACCGTGTCGTCGTCATCCGCTTCGGCCATGACTGGGACAACCAATGCATGACAATGGACGAGACCCTGTATGCAGTCGCAGACAAGGTCCAGAACTTCGCCGTTATCTACCTTTGCGACATCACGGAGGTCCCTGACTTTAACAAGGTGCGTCATTCACGATGTTTGACTCCTTGTCGATTGTCAAGAAGGGGGATTTCGGCGGTGTCGCGAGGGCGAAGCGTTGACTATATGCGGTACCAGATGTATGAACTGTATGACCCGTGCACTGTCATGTTCTTCTACCGGTAAGAGGGGCATCCTTTGTTCTCTGTCCTCACCGTAATAACTTCGCGCATACCAGGAACAAGCACATCATGATCGATCTCGGTACTGGTAACAACAACAAAATGTGTGTTCCTCCACTTCCATTCCGCGACGCACCCTGACCTGTTCGTACCAGTAACTGGGCTATGGATAACAAACAGGAAGTGAGTCGCCATGTCAGTCTCGTGTCGTACTTGGCTTGACCGCTTCGCCACCAGCTCATTGACATCATTGAGACCGTCTACCGCGGTGCGTCGAAGGGACGTGGTCTTGTTGTCTCTCCGAAAGGTGCGTAATCGTTTACCGCGATACTATATTCATTTGCTCACGCAGGCTGGCTAGACTATTCCACTCGCTACCGGTACTGAGCATGGATCTTGCACGCGTGCGTTCTTGTTTTGTACGAATAGATTTGTAACTCCATACCTCCCTCGCAATCTTATCCGTTGTCATTGCTGTCTCTCTCGCGTAACTTCCGTATATTCCAGCTTCATAAACTTAGACTCCAAGGGGCGAACCAACCGTATAGAGTACAACAGCACAACATGAAAGCGATAGAAAGCGAAAAACAAACGCCTCTCCGCGAGAAGCGTAGTAAATCATCACTGGCCCTTCAGGATGCTATCGATACGCGCGCTCTGGATCTCCCGCCTCATGCCCACAGTGAATGGGAAGCCGAAGAACAACGTGCCGAGCGTGAACTTCGCCTGCAATCACCGACCGTCGTCAACCTCACAGGTTCATGCAGAAAACCTGGGTGCTGGTGACGAAGGACTCACCCCTAAAACCACGCCGGCTCGGTGCCTGCGGCACAAGTTGAGCACATACAGCGCCTCAAGACTGTGGGCGACGACCAGGACCCCCCAGCTGGCCACCAGAGTCCACGAGGGCAGGTACGAGAGTACGCTTTTCCCGAACGCGAAGTACGGCGTGTATTCCGAGTAGGAGGGCGCGAGAGCGTCCGCGGCGGTGCAGTAGACGAGGAGCGACATCATCCCGAGCGTGGCGAGAAGCGAGGGCGTGTCGAACCCGAACTTGGTCACTTGCGGCGCGCGCACCTGCGGTCGGTCGCAGTCGCAGGGCGGTGATGGGCATTGGGAGCGTGTGAAGGGTGAGAATGGCGGAGCAACGGGTAGGTATGGGGAATTGGACCGGCGGGGGCGTGGGTGCATGCCAGTGGGGCGGGGGAGATGCGCGACGCGCGTCGGTCAGCGGTGGGAAGAGGTAGTGGGAAGACAGGAAGACGCACCATGCCGAGCTGCTCCTCCGCCTCGCTCTTCATGCCCATCAACCGTGGCTTGACCTCCTCGTAGCCCGCGAGAGGCGGGTCGAACACAACCCGAACTTTCTTGGGTTCCGAGCTGCCTTTGACCTCGTATGTGAGGTCCATGCCCTGTCGAAAGCAGGCAGTATATTAGCGTCGTCTCCTCACACAGGGGCGAAGAGTCGCGCGGAGTGATAGGGGAAGCACGAGACGGAACAGTAGTGAGATCGAACCAACGTACCTTCGTGTCTATGCTCGTCATCTTTGCACTGGACACCTGCGCTGAGACCTTGCCCCAGTACCGCACGTACGACACCAGAGTGTCGGGGTGGTTCGACATGTACATGCACAGGAAGCCCGACTTATCGAGGACCGGATCTGCGCCCATGATGTCTGTCACAATGGTTGGAGAAAGAGAGGCTAGAGTGAGGACGATGGGTGTTGGAGACAGCAAGCCTGGGTGGACGCCGAAAACACGTATGTACACTGAGTCGCGGCAGCGTGAGATTGCGAAAGTCAGTGAGTCTCGGTCCGGTTTGCCCGCCGATCTCTGCCAGGGCGCCAACAGAACAAGACTAAAGTACTTCTCGAAAAGTTCAAGGCCTCAGGCCTCAGGGCCAGCACGCATGATCGACGCACTGTCCTTCCTACCATGTTGCAGCATCCTCCCCTCGAATTTCTGTGACCTCCTGTTGCCACCTTCTCCACCTGCTTCGAGGGTTCACGCACTCCAACTTCTCAAAAAGCATGCCGCTTCCCGAAGATTCCGGGCTCTCATCCAACTCAACGCGCGACGCAGTCCGCACTCGACTTACCGAGCTTCAGATTCAAGCAAATGCTATTGCCGCAGAAAAACTCAAGCTGTACTCGTTGTGGAACTCCTCCCTCCCTATCAACCGCCTTCCGCACGAGCTCCTAGTCCTCATTTTTTCCGCATTCTCCTGCGAAGCCACTACCAAAGACGCGAAATGGATGTTCTTTCACTGGAGGGCAACGATGATGCTGGTATGCCGTGAATGGTACAACCTGCTGACGTCGACGCCAACCCTTTGGTCGCTGTTGTATGTCACCCCTACCCACCCACCACATTTCATATCCACGCTCTTCTCCCGCTCCGCACACACACCTCTCGATGTTCACTTCGTCGACTCTGAAGATCCTGCGATGGCCTATTCCTCTAAGAACTTGAGTCTCGACGCCGTCCGGCCTGTCGCGGATGCCCAAAACAGGATACGGACGCTGGTGGTACCCAGGCATGGCGGTTTGGTTTCTGCGGCGTTCGAACTCCTTTTCCGGGAAACGACCTGGCCCGCCCTCGAATGTTTGCGCATCTTTTTCGCGCGAATCCACACCCCAAGAGACTACGTGATGGACGTTCTTCGTCTCACTCCCGAACGGTTCCCGAAGCTGAAAGAGCTCTCCTTTACCGGCATCATCATCCCCATCGAACCGAGCGCATATCCCCGGCTCACAAAGCTCGCTCTACTTGGTTCTGGAGACGAAATGCCCCCATTCCAGGACTTCGTCGCTCTTCTTTCGACCGCGCGCAGTCTCACCACTCTGACGGTCTACAAGATCGATCTCGGCGAGGTCACATCACCCGAGACTGTCGCCCTCCAGCCTCTCCTCCCCTTCACACTCCCCAATTTGCGCCACCTCTCCCTCCACAGCAACCGTCTCGATGATTTTTCCACGCTCCTGCGTTTTCTTCGCCTGGACCCCTCAACGGACCTCCGCTTTCATCCGATGAACTGGGAGCGTATATACGACGACGAAGACGAGGAAGAGGAAGAAGAAGACGTTCAGCGCAGCATCGTCGACGTCTTCTTCCCGCCGGATGACGACGCCGTGGACGACGCCGATGCCCTCCCGCTACCCATAGCGCGCGTCCTGCGCTCCATCGAGCTCAACGTCCAGGGCGGCTGCCCCATGCTGTTCGCCTGGCGCGCGCCCATCCCAGGCCCCGACGATCCCGCGTTCGCGCTCTCGGCGGACACGTCCAGGGCCCAGCACTCCGACTACGGGCTCCCAGAAGCCCTCTGCGACCTCGTGACCCTCTTCAAGGGCGCGCCGCTCGCTCGCCTCAAGATCACCGGCGCGCTGACCGAGGTCGAGGCGGGAACGTGGGGCGAGGTCTTCCGGGCGTTCCCGGACCTGAAGCTCCTCGATCTGCGCGGCTCCGGCGACGCGTCCGCCGTCTTCGCCGCGCTCGCCGCCCCCGCGGCGGGCGAGCCTGAGGAGAACGGGGAGCCTGAGGCTTCCGTTGCGGGGCGCGGGTTCGCGTGCCCGGATCTGCGGCGGGTCACGCTTGGGCAGGTGGACGATCTCAAGTGGCCGGAAAGGAGCAAACAGCTGTTCGGGGCGATGGTGGGTGCGCTGAGTGCGCGCGCGCAGGCGCAGGTGCCGCTCGAGTCGCTCGTTCTGCACCTTTCGGAGCCTTTCCCTCACGTGAGGGGAGGCTGGAGCGCGAAGTTGTTCCTCCAGAAGCTGCGGCGGGTGGTGGAAAAGGTGCGGTACAGGAAGCACAGGCTCGATGATTATCCATCCGAGTCGGATTCAGAGGACTGCTACTAGTACTAGAGCATAGGGAGATGCCCCGGAACCCCACATAGTAGAGAGACATTCTACTAATTCGTATATTTTCTTCCGTACGGCAGATCCGACATCGCTCGTGCCGCTCCCACTGGACCACGACGGTGAGCATCATAAGAACACTCACATGCGGGAGGCCATCCACGGCGAGACCTCAGCCACTATCAGCACTACCTGTCAGGCCATAAACATGGTGGCAGCGGAGCGGTATAGGACGAGGGCCGAGAATTGGCGATCGGTTCGAGACACAAGCAGTACCGCCCGCATTCGGACCGCCGCCAAGGCACAACCCACGCGCGCATCCAATTGCCTGCCAAAAACCCATCATGCCCCCCGTCGGTACTTAATCACTTACCGCGCCATGTTGAGAGGCTCCGACTGCCGTCTTTCCTCCCCCTCTAACTGACGCTGCACTCCTCACGCTCCTTCACGTCTTCGTAATGTACGCCCTCGCTTTCATGACCATCGCGCTCGTGGCCAACGGTGAATCTCTTGTCGGCGCGCTCAAGCGCTCATGTACTCATTGTAACCGTCCACAGCTGCGGCCCTCTCCGTCCCCTCGCGCGGCCTCTTCGCTCGCCAGCTATCGATAGGCACCGTGCCCACGCAGTGCTCGTCGCAGTGCACCGCGATCTCGACCACGATCTCGGTGCGCACCTCGTCTCCCCGCCCTCCACCGTTCGGGGCTGACATCGGAGTGCGCAGTCCTGCTCGACCATCGCCTGCCTCTGCACGGAGGCCGTCAACCGGGGCGTCGCGAGCTGCCTCCAGTGCTCGCTCTCGTCCGCCGCCGACGCCTCCCTGATCGCACAGGGCCAACAGTCACTCGCCGGTGCGTCTCTGAGCTCTCCCCGCGTCCTCCACCACCACCGTCGCAGCGCCAACACGATTCTTGTGTGCAGCGTACGAGGACTCGTGCGCGGAAGCCGGCGCCGCCGTCGCCTCGATCACGCTCAGCCTCTCCGCGGCGACTTCGGCGGCGGCGTCCACAGGCACGAGCGCGACGTCCGCCACAGGCACGACCGCCGCGCCGACCGCTGCGACCGCCGCGGTGTCCGCCACCGCGCCCAAGGCGCCGACCGCCGCGGCGTCCACAGCGACAGCAGCGAAGACGGAGGGCTCGAGCGGGCCTGTGAACCCGTTCAGCACCAACGGGAGCGGGCGCGGAGCGAGGGGGAGTTCCGCGGCGGTCGTGGCGGCCGCGGCGGCCGCGTTAATTGCGCTTGTACTCTGACAGCGGGGAGGACCTGGAGGATCTGTGGAACCAAAGACGGATTGGGAACGCGGCGTCGTCTCCATCGGTCGGAGGAGGCAGCTCATGTATACCACCAAGTAGTTTGATATCCCCGGACTGGCTTTGGATTAATGCCGCTCGTTGTATTCTGGTGTGGCACAGATGCCTTGGAACTATGCCGAAACGACTGCATACTGTTAGATGTCGGCGGCTCGGGCGAGGTCGGACGAGGAGTAAAGACAATCATACGACGCGGTTGGCCCCTATGGGCATCGGGAGGCGAGTACAGACGGACGCGGGGGAGAACGAGGGGGTGGGGAAGGGCAAACGCGTGAGCCTGCGAGTGCGGGCCGGGGGACGGCGGCTATCTACGCGATGAGCGACGTTTTTGGGTCGTTATGAAAGTTGCAATATGCTGGCGCTTATAACGGTTCGGTGGTGTAGTTGGTTATCACGTCTGTCTAACACACAGACGGTCGTCAGTTCGAGTCTGGCCCGAATCATCTCCCACGGTGTTTCATCGTTTTTGTCTTTCATTTCAATCTCCACGTTCGGGGTTCGGTCTTTGCTTCGGAGAGCATTATGCAGCTGCCTCGGGCTTCGTCAGACCGCTCGGACACGGCCTCCGGGTCTGCTAACGTTCCATTGCCGGACGACGCCCAAGTGCATGCGCAGTGCCACGCACGATTCCACGAGTCTTGTGGAGGACCTTCATGAGGCGAGTTTCTGTCTCGCCGCCGCAAGCAGTGTCGACTATGTGAGTGAGCATCTTGGCCTACTTTTCTTGCCGCCTGACAAGTTGGCAAGTCTCAGCGTGTCTTAACAGCATGGCGAATGTTAGTCCGCGCCCACTCATCATCATCGCAGGAGTGGGGAACGGCTCAGGTGCGTAGTCCGCGCCCTGCAGGTCTTCTATACAATATGCTGAGGGGCGTTTTTCATGCGAGCAGGCGTAGGAGGAGCCACTGCGTACGTCGTCTGAATCTGCTTATACATGCGTCCCATCCCAACACTTCCCCGTCCTCTTGCTTCAGACATCTCTTCGCGAAGGAGGGCTACCGCGTCGCCCTGATCGCGCGAAAGGCCGAAGAAATGGCCCCGCTTGTCGCGGAACTCATCGCGTCTGGAGGCGAGGTACGTGTCCCCCATTCACCCCGTTCGGACGACCCAGCTTGAGAGCACTCTCCCCTCTCCTCTCAGGCCGCCGCCTTCGCCGTCGGAGCGTACACCCACGCGGCAGTGACCGCGCTGTTCCCCACCATCCTCACGCACGCGTGGCCGACACCCGCGCCCTCCGCGCTGCGCGTCGCGGTGTACAACGTCGGCTTCGTCGTCCGGAAGCCGTTCCTGCGCGTCTCGCCCGCGAACCTCGCCGGGGTCGTGGACGCGAACGTGCACGGGGTGTTCGCGTTCGCGCGCGCGGCGGTCGAGGCGTTCCGCGCGAACGCGCTGGACGCGCGCGGGAAGCGGGGCACGCTCGTCTTCACCGGCGCGACGGGCAGCACGCGCGGCGGGGAGATCACGAGCGCGTTCAGCGCGGGCAAGTTCGCGCTCCGGGCGCTGAGCCAGAGCCTGGCGAAGGAGTTTGGGAAGGAGAACATCCACGTGCGTCGTTGGCCTTGCAGTTTGTCTCCACGTCGATGGGGCTGAGCGAGAGTGGACAGGTGGCGCATGTGGTCATCGACGGACGTGAGTCTCTGGCTTGCTTGTCTCGAGGGCGGCTTCGTGAACTGACTCTGGCTGGAAACAGCGGTGATGACGGACTGGGCGATGAACAACTTCGGCGACATCTCGAAGGATTGGAAGGAAAACTTGGACGTCCGCGTAGATCCGAAGGGCGTCGCGATGGTACGTGGTCCACTATCCCCGACGTTGCCCGCTGCTGAGCCCAGTCGGCCGCGCAGGCGTACCTCTATCTTGTCGGTCAAGATCGGTCGGCGTGGACGTGGGAGATGGACAGTGAGTTGAGACGCTTCTTCGCCGTGCGTGCCATTAGCGCTGATGTCCCGTCCTTGCACAGTGCGGCCTGCGCACGAGAAGTGGTAGGACGGCACATGTATGGACAGTGCGCTGCCACCGCATATGTTATCCTGTGCGCCATCCTGTGTGTGTTTGTCACGATGCAGGGAAGACTCGACGGAGATGAGGGGGCTTCCGTCCCCTATGTCGCGGAAAAGCTGCTAGCGATTTGCTCCGGCCTTGGCTGAAAGGCTAAAGGCCAGCCAAGGGGAAACGCGGGTCAAAGCATGCGCGCGAAGGGAGAAAGGCAGCTACCAATCACACTGGGAATTAATAGCTCACTCGGGATCTTTGACAGCTGATCCGACTTCTAATGAACTCGTTCCCTCGTCCGCAATTTGGACGATTAAAACCGCCGGTTTTCTGTGTTGTTTCTGCTTTTGAAGACAGATCGTACGCACACCGCTGTGGGTTGTAGAGAGCGAAGGTCGAGTGGAACCGGTGCGCCGCCCACAGTCCGTGGTAGATGTACATCACCTGATCCCGAACCTTGGACGCGTCCTTCCAGGCCCCGAAGCAGGCGAACTGTCATCAGAAAGATGAGAAGGCCCGACGAGTTCATAAGCCCTGTGGTCCAACGTCCAGTTCCCGCCGTGCTCCCCTTCCTGCCGCGTTCCCGCCCCCTCGAGGTCTCGGACCCGTCGCCCGCACTTCCTTTTCCTCGTCGCTCTTTGCCTCCGCGTCCTTTTCATCGACCATGCGCTCCTTCGCCGCGCTTCTCGTTTCTGCTTTGACCGTCGCACAAGGTACGTACTGTTCGTCATCAGCGAGCACCCGCAGGCATTTAACTTTCATTCGCGCTCTCCAGTTGCCTTCGTTGCCGCTGCAGACGACCCGAATGGCAACGGCCCGTCGATGTCCATACCGTCCCTGTCTATCCCTGCGTTTCCAACCCCTCCAGCATGCTCCAAAGAGCGCGAAAGGCAGGGCCTCTGCACCCCCGACGGGACCACGACCACACTGGTGTTCACCGCGACCAGCGGCTCCGTCACCCTCGTCGAGACCACCGTGCTCACCATCGGCGGCTCGAGCACGGCCCCTCTGAGATCCACCATCTCCTTCTCGGGCCCGGTTAGCGCGAACACTCTCTCCTCCATCCCGTCCGCCCCGGCGTCATCGATGAGCACGAGCAAGGTGAAGTCGTCCTCGGCCTCCGCGTCCGCGTCCGCGTCCTCGGAGCTCGCCTCCTCCCCCACGACCACCTTCACCGCCTCCCCCACCACGAGCCACACGGCGTCGTCTACCTCGACCGTCACGACGTCGGTGGTAACCACCGCCCCGGCCGCGCCCGATTCAGGCAACACCTCGGTGAGTCTCTCGCGCCCTTTCGCGAGCGCGTCGTTGACGTCGTGTGCAGGCCACCGGGAACACCGCGGGGTCCGGTGCGGCCCTCGGCGCTGCTCTCGACGCGCGCGCGATGGTGCTCGCCGCCGGCGCGGTCGCCGCGGCTGTCCTTCTTGGCTTCTGAGACTTGAGCACGTGGAGCGGACCCCGCTTGAATGCTGCCTCTTTTTATTTGCACTATGTATTCCCGGGCTCGCTTCTCGCGCGCATACCCCCGGATGTTCAAGTACGGTTTGTATGTTTGTAGTTTAGTTTCGCCGCACGCGTCGAAGACCGTGATCTTGACAGCCACCCGGTGTGAGTGTGGGCACTTCATTCACCTTGGCGACTTCATCGTGTGCGTGGTGCGTGGGTGCGGGTACAGGCGCGGGTCGAGCGCAGACACGAGGTCTTGACCTGTACTCGCACCCGCGAGGGTCCCGTTCGAAGGGTCAACGTCGGACGAGAACGCGCGCAAGTGGCACGGCTGTGCGGTCTGCGGAAAGGACTCTCCAAAGCACGCCACGCACGATGCCTCCTTGTGCGTACGAACTCTCCACGTATCCTGAGCGGCACTGAAAAGTCCAACGCTAGCTGATGGAAGGTCGAACACAGCAAGACACAGTGACGAGCATATCGATTCGACGGACGAGACGTCTGCTGCCCGTGGCGCTAAACGACGTCAGTACTTGACTTGCGTGGTCAGCTCGACCTCTCCCTCGACCAGCCCTCGCGCCTCTGCCAGGTACGGTCCGGCGTCGAGCCGGACCCCTTCTCCTTCCTCCGCATCTCCGTCGCTCGGAATAACTTGCCCGTGCATGGCGACTTGGCGCAGCGGGCGCATGCCATGCCGCGCGCGCGCTCGGAGGCACTCGATCAGTGTCTGGAAGACCGCCTTCGCGTCCTCCGGCGCCGATTTGAAGAAGCAGGACAGGTTCCGGAGAGCGTGGCAGGGGCCGCTGTCTCCAGCGCTGGGCGAGGACGAGGGAGGGGTGAGCGCGTGGAGGAGCGCAACGGGGGCTCCTCCGCTGGTGAGCCCGAGGTGTTCGAGAGTGGGGAACGTCGCGAACAGGTTGTGGAAATAAAAACTCACCCCGCTAACGCGGCCAGTGGAAGGCGTGAGGGACCGAGTAGATGGAGCGGCCGGGTTGGCAGAAGGATGGAAGAGGTTGGACCCGAGCAGCTGTGGCGGCGGCGTAGACTCATCCAGAGCGCCAGCGAGAGGGCGTTCACGAGCACGTGAGGGGAGCCAGTGCTCATGTGACTGCGACGCGTAGACATGCACGGTGTAGACAGTATAATATATGCCTCCAACATCCCTCCCCATGATCCCCGACGCCTCGCCGTCCGACAGCGCTGATGCGCTCAAGGCTAAAATCAAATCTGTTCCCACGTACCGTGGACGCCCTGGCAGTGCCAAGGCCGTCCCCTCAAAGCTCAAGCTGAATGACAAACAGAAGGCTCGGATCGAAGAGCTCCACACGCAGAACGAGTTAGAGCTATCACTATATGCGCCTGAAATTGAGGCTCAGCGTGCGTGTCGACCATCTAATCCCTTATCTCACCCGGATCTCACAGTGCAATAAGCAGAGCGCGCTCTCCAGCGCATCGAGGAGCTTGATCTCCACGTGCCAGTTGTCGACCGGCTGCGGGCGATCCGCTCCAAATGGGCAATCAGGAACACCGACCGCAAAACACTCGCCAAGCACTCAGATATGGCCCATGTTACGTACCTCTATCAGTGCATTTGTGGAAGCGACAACACAGTAGGCTCAAAGTCCAGCAAGAACCGCCAAATGCAATACCAGGATGTCGGATGCCTCGCATTTGTCAAGCTCATCGCCACATGTGAACAGCGAGAGAAGAAGGGGACTGGTCATGGGAAAGCGAAACCCAATGAAGGTCAGCCCCGCATCATGTCCGGTGTGTTCGTGTTCACCTCAACACCATATCCATCATAGATTCTGGCAACCTGTTGGTCGTGCACGCAATCACTGGGAACACCACACACTCCCTGGAATGCCAGAAGGTCCATGATGCCTTCCGCTTCCCACGTGCCCCCCTCCATCCCGAGATCCGCGCGTACGCGCTCTCACTCCTCGGACAAGGTGTACTCGCGCCCACCGTTTACACAGCCGCGAACCAATTCGCACATGAGCGCTTCCCAGAGATAGTCACTACAGGCGACAAGAACTACCGGTACATTTACGTCCCACATGACACTACTTCGCTATACCGCACCATGAACCTATGCAACGGTATCCCACAGGTGTCAAAGCCTGAGAATAACCTGGATCTCTGGTTTCGCGCGCAAGAACCATCACCCCCATGCCCAGAACTTGCCGAAGCATGCATGTTCTACCAGCCATACCTGAAAGATCAAACTGACCGCTTCATCCTCATCCTTGCCACTCCCGAACAGCGCCGTCAAGCATGGAAGTACGGCCATCAGAACATCCTTCTCCTCGACCTCACCTTCGGGTTCTGCTCCGCGCGTGCGCTCCTCTTTATTCTCATGGTCATTGATGACAACTACCGTGGTGTTCCCATCGCATACATTGTCTTCTCTGCCAAGGAGAAGACGAAGGCCACAGGTGTCCATGCCGACTACAACGGGGCGCTGCTGAAATTGATCCTCCGGGAGTACGTCAGTGGCATGGGGCTCAACGAGGCGGGTGAGAGCTTTGCACCCAAGATTGCCATCACCGACTATGACAAGCGCGAGCGCTCTGCACTTGCCGAAGTGTTCCCAGGGATCCAGCTCCTGCTGTGCCTGTTCCACATGTGGCAATCATGGCGCAACGCCCTCAACAAGGCCGTCAAGCAGGTCCCCAAAGACGAAGGACGTCAGGAAGTACGCAAGGCCTTAGCCGCCTTCGCAATGCGACTGTAAGCACATCCCCGGTGTCTCTCGAACCACCTGCGCTCACCCGGATCTGCCACTCCAGTTTGAAAGAGTTTGAAAGCTTCGCGGCCGCGCATACAGCCCTCCACGAGGAGCTCGCGAAGTACGAGACACTCGCCCGCGGACACTCAAAGCGCCCACATGGCCGCGCTGGCATCCATTTCCTAGACTACCTCATGTCGTATGTCGTCTCCGACCTCTTCCCACAATGGTCCCGCGCAGGTGTCAACATCGCGGCTGCCACTCTCGGTGTTCCCATTGCCCGCATCCCACGCACCAATAATCACTTAGAGTCGCATAACAACCACATCAAAGGCGACTACTTCTCTGGCCATGCCCACGGTGGACGCCTCCCACGCATAGATCAGTGGATTCTCATACTCATTACAGAAGTTGTGCCCGCTTTCTTCTCACGCCGCGAAGACGAACGTCGTCTGTGCGCCTTCCGGCAGGCAACTATGCAACCTGTGTCTAATCCAAATGCTATTGACACTCAGCTCCTCACCGCTCTCTGCCAACCCGACAAGGACGACACTGACAGTGCCAGTGGCGCCTCCTCTGAACCTGAACGCGCACTCGGTGCTAGCTCCACCTCTCCCAGCCCACGCTCCGCCCACGCAACTCCCTCGCCGCTCTCGGGCGCTCAGTCACATGCCCCTAGGCTCCGATCATCTCCCTCATTCCCGCTCTTGCAATCACCCTTGCCAGCACAACACCCTCGACCCTTGCGCTCCCCTTCTCTGGAGTACATTGATCTTGCTGCTCTACACTCGTCTGCGCCGGCTGCATCATCCCCACATGCGCCGGCAACTCGCTCCCCTTCTCTGGAGTACATTGATCTTGCTGCCCTACGCTCGTCCACACCAGCTGCTTTGCCCCCGCGCGCTCCAGCGACTCGCTCCCCTTCCCTGGAATACGTTGATGCATTCGTCCCGGCTGCCTCGATATCCGCAGATGCCACGCGTGGCGGTTCGTCCTCGCCAGCTTCAAGTTCTCCCCTGCGCGCAGTGCCGGCCGCTTCACCCTCGCACGCGCGCACTGCCTCCGACTCCTCTCCCGACGCTCCCACCCCTCCTCGCGCAGTGCCTGCTGTCCGCTACACTCGCGCGCCAGCTGCTTCTCCCCCTCGCATGCCCACTGCTTCATCCCATCTTCTGCTGGCTCCCCCTTGCGTGCCTGCTGGTGTAGTCTCTCGCGCACCGGCTGTGCCTTTCTCGCGCGCGCGCGCACCCGCCCTACCGGCTGTGCCTTTCTCGCGCGCGCGCGCACCCGCTCTACCGGCGCCTCAGGCAAGCAATCGGCGCGCGTTGGCCTTCCAAGATATCCAGAACACACATGACACCTTACGCAACAAAATACGGCAGGCGCGCAGGCTTGGCGTATCAGTACAAGAGCTCGCCCCTTACACCACACCCTCTATCGCGCGCGATATGGATGCGCCCCCATTGGCGTCAAGCTCGTCATCAGTAGTACCAGACTCTGAAGATGCGTCCTCCCCGGCTACTGCAAGGTCCAGAAGCAGTCTTCCCGCAATCGTGTGGGATCAAAACCCAGGTATCGCTCACCTGCGGGAGAGGGTTCGCGGTCGTGTCCTCGACGATGAAGAGCACGGACTCCAGCCCTCAAAGCGCCTGAAGACGTCCAATGACGTCGGTGTCGGGACTGCACGGCCCGAGCCCTTCCAGGCCCAGCGCAAAGAAGCCCGTAAGACGTCGTACAAGACGCGGTAGATGAGCCGTACCCGAGTTGTGGAGTAGGCGGCGTTGACAGTGGCACATATGTAGAATTCGGTGTAGAACTACATGGCTTCTTTAAGCGCCCGCTTAGCGGGGTGAGTTTGGCCTCCCGGTGCCACCGGCCGTCTGCGGGGCGCACGTCGTCGGCGGAGAAGTTGAGGCGCCGCAAGGGCGATCCGCCGAAGAGGGTGACGACGTCGTTGATGCCGCAGGAGAGGTCGTAGCGGTTGGGGCGTGCACTGTCGAACATATATTTAGGCACGGGGGAAGCGGTCCACTCGAACAGTGGGTCCGCCAGATCACCGTCCGACTCGGCGAGTCCCATGATGGTGGCCCGGAACCGGTCGGCACAGACGTGCAGCCTCTGCGCCGAGCGGGTAAAGGGGATAGGCATTGTCTCCCCGCGATCGGGATAGAAGGCGTCGACGATGCTGAGGCGGCGGCCGGCTTCGACGTTCGTGGGCGGCTGCCGCCAATCTTCGTTGAAGAGACCGGTAACATCGAGGTCTGCGCGAGCAAGAGGGAAGGCCTGAAGGAGCACCATTACTTCCTCGTGACGTGCGGCACCAAGGCTCAATGAACGCAGACGGGGCAGCGTCAAAGGGAGTTGGAGTGCAGATGTGGGCGCTGGTGGAGAATGATCCGCGGGTCTATCTTGTGACATATTGTGTTCCAACCGTATGAGGAGCTTTTCGAGCCGAGGAGATTGAGAGAGACAGATGAGGAAGTCTTCCACAGGAGGCCAATGCGATGTAGGGCCCGTGAGGTCGAGTGTTCTGAGCTGAGGAAACAATGTCGGCTCGATAGTGCCGGGGAGGACCATGTTGAGGGTGAGGTGTTGGAGTCTCGGGAAACGCGCCGGGGTGAGAGACAAGAACTCGGCATTGAGAACGGGAAATATGTCTTCGTAAATATCGGTGAAATCGACGAACAAGGTCGTGAGGATGGGCCACGTTCTGTCCCGGAAGAGGGCTTCGAAGAACGGCAAGGTGTAGAACAGCCGATCGGCATCCACCAAGGCAAGACTGCGCGTCCGTTTCGATTGAGCGGCGATCGCCACCCCGGCCTCCTCTGACCAGACCTTGGATGAATACCCTTCTGAGTCGATGGTCCACCCTCGCCCCGGGTGGCCGTCGCCCGTCCCCCCATCGTCTTCGTCGCCCCCATCGCTTATCGTCCTATCGTCTCCTCCATCCGGCAGGTCGAGAGGAGCTAGGTCGGGAGAAAGCTGCAGAGACGAAGACCATTCCGACTTGTATTTGCGTTTGAAAGAGAAATCGAGGCCCGCCCTAGCCGCGCGCGACAGCAGCAGATCGTAGAGGCGTGGGGGCGCGTGCGGCGAGACGAACGTCCAGAGCGTTGGAGCGCTCTCGATGAGGTCCCGCCACCTGCGACAGACGAGGAGGAGCACCTTGCGCCGCAGGTGGGTCCGTTTGGGGTTTTCTTCAGCGAAGCTCGTGGGCTGGAAGCAGGCGGCGAAGATGCGGAGGAGGAGCTCGGTGGGCAGAAGGTTGATGGAGGGCGTACTGTTCCAAGCGGCGCACCGTTCATCGCCGCGAGCCACCTGCAAAGCTGAAGCCTCCTTCTCCTCGCCCTCAGCTGCTTCACCCGCCGCATCTTCAATCTCGGAGATGCGCTTGAGAAGGCCGTCGCGGACCGGGCATGGTGGCAGGCCGTCTGTGCCTAGAGGCGTCATCCTTGGATCGATATGGAAATAGCAGAAGATCAACTGTGCTGTATGCCAAAGGTGATGGCAGACAAGCCCCGATTGCGTGGTAGAAATTGGAAGGGGGAAGAGGAGGCAGACACTAGCTGAGTTGAGTTGCTTGACCTGCAGTGACTCGCGCCGCCCGGGCCGGTCATCGCTGCGCACATCGAAACGCCTGCAGGAGACTTTCTTCAATGCCTACTTACGACTATCATCCCGATGGGTCGTAATGCCCCAGCATATATCACGCTCGGCCCGTGTGAAGCAGTCTGGGTGTAGGCAAAGGTCGTCGGTTATGCGCCTTGGCAACTTCCAGCGACATGGGCAATAGCGGTCACCATATTTCACTCATCAAGATCCAGCTGTACCTCGGATACTTCTTGTAATGCACCTCGTCCACCATCCGCCTGGGCCTCTTGAGGTGCCACGCCTAGGCTCCCCTCTCGTCCAGCAAAGAAGGCTCGCATCTGACGGCGGTCGGGGTACGCCGAGAACCGAGAGCCTAGGGTTTTCGTCACCGTCGTCTGTGTCGACTGCCCTTGTCCTCCTCGTGAGTCCCTCGCGCCCTTGTGCGAGTGCTCAAGCGCTCTGGCGCGTCGTTGACGTCGCGCGCAGGCCACTGGGGGCACCGCGGGGTCTGGTGCGGCCGGCGGCGCGGCGACTGATGCGTGCGCGGTGGTGCTCGCGGCCGGCGCGGCCGTTCCTTGCTATCACCTCCACCCGTACCAGTTTGCACGAAAGCTCGATGAGCCGTGACGATACGCTGCGACCGCGGATGAGATGCCCTCGCAGCAGTAGCAAAGTTCGCGTGGCCGCTCCTCGTCGCCCAGCCACATCGGTCGCCGGCGTCGACGCGGCCTACATAGATGGACACGAGGACTGTGGCGGGCTCACCGGAGCTGCGGCAGGTCGTTGCCGTCCGCGGGCAGCACTGACTCGGGCAAGGATAAGGAGGCGGCGCGCATGACGGTATTCGTCGTGCACTCAGAGTCTTAGATGCGTACATCCTCGAGGACAGCTCGGCGGCTCCACGGCTTCCGCGACCTCTGAGTGTCACCGCCTCAAACCCAGAAGCTTGAACGCGACGACCTGCACCGTCGCTACCCTCCGCGGGTCCGCGCGCGGCCACAGTCGTGGCACGGAAACGCCAGCGTCACTCTCGAGCCATGATGCACAGTCACGAGGCCGAGGTGTAGCTCGACGCCCTCAAGGGATACCGGCACCCTCTGCATCCAGCTATCTCCGCACGCTCCAGGAGCCCGACGGCGGCTCGCGCCCCGCTGGTATCACACCTACTCGAGCACGCAAGCGCGAAGCAAACTTCTTATGGACGACTACGCCGTGGGCGCAATGCTCTGCAAATTAGAGGTTCTACATCCGCAGCTTGGTGAAGAGGCTGCTGTCCACCATCACCTGCGGCTCGTGCGCGTGAGTTTCGATCGACGCCGTGACGCGCATGCGGGGGGCGAACTTGAACAGCACGAAAACGAGGACGAGATGGTCCGGCGCGCGATCGCGGAGAGCGAGACAATGGCGCGCGCGCGCGCCGAAGACGACGACCGTGACGACACCTCCCGCATCGACGATGGCGCGTGCGTCGGAATACAGTGGCGAAGTGAACGAGCTTGCCGTGCAGAGATGCGGCTTCAGACCTCGAGAAGCAGCCCTCCGAATCCCGCCACTGGACAGTGACGGGCGACGGTGTGGCCTACAGCTTGTCCCTCCGCGTGGACACCGACAGTGCGGCACAGTGAATGAGCGTGAGGCGCACGAGCGGCGCACCGCGGAGCAGCGCGATGAGGTCCCAGAGTCGGATTCGTATTCTTCGTGTGGGTACTCCTTGAACGGGTGCGCATATGGGGTGACGACCACAAGCACCCCATCGGAGTCGGCATCATCCTTGTCCCCGCGCGATGTGCAAGCCTTTGGGGCTAAGGGTGAGACCGCCGCGGCGCATGTCCATGTTAACGGAGCGCGCGGTTCTTCGCGAGCGGGAGAGGCAGTCCGTCGTCGGGGTTGTCGCTGTCACCGCTGGCCGAAGAGAGGAGGTCTCGGATGATGCTGTGGCACTAGTCCGGGTTACTACATATCACCAACGTTCTCAAGTATTTCCACGGGCAGTGGAACAAGTTTGAGCAGACCTGAGCAGAGTATTTGAGAAATGGAGTGAGCCAAAAGGGGAGAGAAAATCGATGGCAGAGCAGTGAGAGTGATACTAGTACAGGTGTCACGAACGAAGAAACGACACGACGAGAAATCCCGAATATTCGGTGCCCGAATAGGACCTGGAACATGGTACTGCCATGGAACCTGTCACGGTCACGTTCTTTGTCTGGTCCGCGCCGGACCGGACAAAGAACAGGAATCATGGTCGGCCCGTGGTCTGCGCCCGCCCGGGGTGGCGTAAGGCATCACGATCCGCCCCCGACCGTGCAAAGAACATGGTGGGTCCACGTAACCTGGCTGACTCATGTTCCGAGCCTGATATGCGCGCCACTGGGTATCATGGAATCGGCCTGGTCTGCCGCAGACCAGGTCATGCCCAGGATTCATGGCCTCAGCCTGGTCGGCCACTTACCAGGTTTTATGTTCGGCACCGAGACGTGTAAGTAGCGCCTTCCTTTTGACTCTCTCTAACCCCGATCGTTAGTGTTTCTTCGCCCTGTAGCGCACAGTTGAGCGCAAGGTCGAGCTTGAATGGGCTTGGCAGCATCGTGAACGAGAGTTCAACGAGCCAGGTACAGGACTTGAGCGAATTCGCGGGTGACAGCGGCATCGAGCAGGTGCCAGGCGGCGATGGGCGCGTTCAAGCCCGCCAGTGCGCTTGACCCTCCGCTCGACCATCGACGCAGCTCAGGTACGTATCCCTTTGCTCGCGCTCACGATATCTCAGTCGAGCGTTCTCCCAGACACGCTCCCGCCCCAGCGATAATCTGTGCCGCGCTCACTACGGTCGAGGAGCTTCACCCCGGAGTAGAACCTTGAGCGTTCTGCGCATGAAGAGGCAATCTCGTCAGTAACGTGCATTGTTCTGTAGTCTGTATGATACTGACTTTCCGTACCGCGTCTTGTCGCGCACGTCCGCAAGGCGCGCTCGTGAATAGTAGCTATGAGAGCTCCGGGTGCCACTGCGCTCGTGGATCTGGAGCCACTGCGCTCGTAGCTCCGGAGCCACTGCGCTCGTAGCTCTGAGCGCCACTGCGTTCATAGCTCTAGGCGCCACTGCGCTCGTAGCTTCCAGCGCAATCGCACTGCGATGCGATTGCGCTGGAAGCTACCGGCCGGTAGCTCCCACTGCAGCAATATGTTCGCCTCCTTGCTTGAGGCTCTGATTAGCTTCGATCCGGGCGCATGTGATGGTAGTCCTATCGCACTGCGCGACGAGTCTGTCTGGTGCCGAAAATTCTGAGGAGCTTGCCAACACCAGGTAGTAGAACGTTGTATACTAGCTAACAGTGGATCTAATTAAACGCACACGGGAGGAATTGTCGCATGCGACGATGGTGATGACGGTCAATTCTGTCGCAAAACATCAGTGAAATTCCGTACAGAAACCAACATGACTTACGCGATCTAGAGCTCGCACGACGACACAACTCTCGTCGATACCGTCAGGTACGTAGGTCAGGCTTGCAAATTGGCAAACTACGTCCGTTGTCCGTACGACGATACTCCTCTCGGATCGATTGTAAACAAGTTTGGTGTCCAGCAAGGGGAATCGACGATAAGGGTCCCATGCTGCGTGTTCGTTGGTGAGAGTGGCATAGACATCCACCACTAACCATGGCTCAACGATGTCCCCCTTTGTCGGTGAGAGTCTTCGATGAAGGAAGATCTGGGAAATCTGACCAGCAAGTACGCTGTCGGGAAGATCCCGATCCGTCGGGTCACGTAAACACACGAAGGAGTTACGGATGTTCTTGTCCCGTGTCCCGAGCGTCGCGCGGTGAACTTCAATCTTCGGAAGTAGTACTGCGTGGAGTGGGAGTTGGACGGTGCCACGGGCAGGTTGTTCATAGAACGAGCTGTAAGCGGATGGAGGCGTATGATTGAGCACGCCGAGAAGTTTGTTGTAGACATCGCGCTCGAGCGTCGCCTTGCAGTGTTTGAACTTGGTGTACAGAGCACGTAAAGTTTCGGCCGATTGCGATGCTGTTGCTAAGGCAAGGATCTCCGCCGCCCTGGTACTGCGCGTTGTGTCTTGGAACACAGCGCGGACCGCAGATTTGAGGTCGTCGAATTCTTCGGTGCTAGGCCACTCTACCGAGTCGAAGAGATACCTCAGTTCAGTTCCCACACAGAAGTGATCCATGAAGGTCAGAGGGATCTCCTCTGTATAAGACGAAGAACGCGGTTGATCAGACAGTTATTACTGCACTAATCACAGCTGCAAGACCTACCTATTTTGTTGTTCGTGTTGAGGCGTTGGATGATGCCGTTGAAGCGTTCGAAGGGAAAGCCCCACCAGGCCATAACCGGACCGAACAAGAGGAGACATTGACAAAGATGGAGCGAGAGGTGATGGTTCGGCGAGAGTTTGTGATTGAAGAGCTTGCGGAGACCGATCACGTATTGTAACATGTGAGAGTCGAACAATCGGGCCCGCTCCGCCGTCATCGAGCGTCGGCAAGCAAGGTCGACGGCAACGGCAAGATGGACAAAGTTCTCGAGTATCGCAAGCTCGAGGTTGGAGGCCGTGAACGACCACGTTCGAACCAGGGTGATGACCATGCTGATGGTACAAACGGTGCGCCAATGATCGGCCTTCAGCTTTCCGTGAGATTTGCTCCCTAGGTTAGACGGAGGTCGCTCGATCCAAGATGGCAAGTATGTCGATCGGATGTCTGAGCGCACTTGTTGGATGATTTTCGGCGTGAGCACTTGAAACGTTGAGATATCGTCGGACAGATAGAAGTTGTCAGCGTCTTCCGGTAGGATGGGTGGTACACGCAGAGCGGTCGGCGCATTTGATTTTGCCTGTCCGTGAT